ATCGCCAAGGCACACATCAAATGGAAAGTGCATCGAGCTCATGTTGTGGTCAGTACTGGAAAGGATCGACTAGGCCTTCTATATGATTCACAGTTGCTTTTCAAGAACTGGGAGGATGAAAGTGGCTTTACGCCAAGCTGGTCAGGAAATCAGCTCCCGGATCAGTACCTCTTAGCTAAATCGAATTTTCATCCCTGAATGATTCATTTATGCATTGACGTTTGGCTTTGAAGGTAGAGATGGCTATGTTATGTTACTTATTCTTCGTCTGGGCAGCCTGTTATGGCCATGAGATTTCAGCAATTCATCATGACGCTATCGTATTGAAGCCTCATGTCGAAGGAACTCATTTGAAGCATTGACTACTTTTTCCGACTAGAAGGACTCACAAGTAGGTAGCAAGTAAGTGATCTAGGAATAGGTACACAACAGAGCCTTGTAATCTCGAATCGCATCACTGGCCTTCCTATTAGAGGTGCCCCCTATTCCTACTACACTGCTTCCCAATCCGCAGAGCAACAAATACATGAGTTCACTCCCCGAATCCATGTCAGCACTGGGCAAGTAGCTTTAGTGGGCCAACCTGTCCCCTGGGATCGCGCTGCGCAGCTTCATGACCAACCGTTCCGAAGGTGTGACTCTTGCAAAACATCAACTTATAACAAATAAAGTATTTACTACAGTGAACTATCGAGAAAATTCTTTTTGCAGCACATGCTGGAACCAGTACTCGAGGTGGTGAAGGAATGCAACAAAGATTTCAATGAAGAAACCAAGGAAGCATGGACTACGCTGTACTACATAATCGCTGAACTCATCGAAATTTATCGGCATAAGAAATAGATCTCCTAGGACATCAGACATTTTGCATTAACACTGAGGAGCTGAAGTTATTCTTCCACTCCTTAAATTTTACTGTAAATCAATATGTTGTATCAATGTGATTAATAATAAAGTCGTTGAAGGAACGTCTCTCCCATTGCCGCCCACATCTATTGAGTACTTCAGTACATACAGACAGGACCTATTTTGAAATATTTCCTTCTTCCAAAATCTCATCATCACAATCAAAATCCCATTTCACTGCAAAGGATCTTGCCAGACCAGGGAATTCCGGAGAAACGAAACATCAGTCCATCATCAACGTGAGCTCTTAGCTCCTAGTCAGACAGTCGTTTTTCAGTGTCTCCTAAAAGCAGCTCAAACATCAGAAAATCCGCTTTTCCCTTTTTTGAAGTGACAAGTAACAGGAAGACGATTAACACATTTCCGACAGCCATTTCAAAGTCTCAAAGTCAGTAAGTTCAAGAGCACAACTCACTGTACTGCAGTGAATCACAGAAGTGACTACGCTAACCTCTGCCGCACTACATCTAGCAGCTGTCAGGTATTTTTTCAGTATGCTTTCATAAAACCATTTTATTCTCACTCCACATAAAACCTTATGTCTCCTGACGCGCATGAAAGCCTCCTCAAAAGCCCATTGACTAGAAATTGCTTATGGAGGTAAAACTTACGCTTTCTGGGCTCGTCACAAAACTCACGTCAGGAAACTAAAAAATACAAAAAAACACTTTTGTAACTCTTCAACCACGACAGGAGGGCTAAATAATCCAACATACCTACAAAAACCCCGGCTGATCCTTACTACATATGCGGTTGCGCTCAGGAGAACGAAGGTGGAAGCCGGCCGCTAACAAAAACAGAGGCTAAAAATTTCTTGTACGTACCCACGCTAATTAGGTGAGTTTCATCAAATTACCTAGAGTTAAGTCAACGGAATGAGAGTCTGAGGCTTCAGTATTCGGATGAGCTTTCCCTTTTTATCTGCCCACCTATGACGACTACCCGTCAAATGAATACCCAGCTTCATGAACATCCTCCTTCTACGGTATCTGCTGTTTCTCAGAGTTACTTCATAACTCGAAATCCTGTTCTCCTCTGATTTTCAAATCCCAGGCCTCAGCCCTGAAACTTTAGATGTACTGCACAATGCGTAGCGATTAAACTGACTCTCTAGCGAAAAGCATTCCAGAGGAACGCAACGAGAGAGCAGAACTTCGCGGAGCAAATCAAGAACCGAAAGGACCCGCACCGACAATGGACAAAACTGACGGAGAAAGCGACGAGACAGGTCCATTGAACCGTCCGTTTGAATAGTGAGAGTGAAGAACGGGAGACTTTTTCAGTTATGGCAGTCCGCCAGCAGCTGAGCAGACTCACAGAAAGGCAACATGCCGTAATCGTCAGAACATTCGCCAAAATGGGGAGCAACCCAGTGAGGAATGCCCTCCAAGTTTTAGTCAGGTATAAAACTGCTCTTCCTTAGTTCTCCCTTCATTTCCTTTAATTTGAACTTTGCATACTCTTTGCTGAATATCCACAATACAAACGAATATGGCCACAATTTCGAGCAATACCAGATTCTTCTCTGATCAACGCCATCGAACTTAGGTAGACAGTTTATGATTGAGGGTGAGCGAGGGTGAGCGTCACTGGCAACCCAATATGAACGACCGTACGTTGCAGACTACTTGTTGATTCCAGAAGGCATGCTTCAGTCTACATGTGTGGCTTGACTGCAATAATTCATTCGATGAATCAAGAAGAGGAACTGGAAATTCAAATGAAACGAATCGCTAAGGCACACGTCAAATGGAACGTGCACCGAAGTCATGTTGAGGTCAGTCCTTCAGGAAGTAAAATGAGCCTCCATTCCAAGACCGACCTCCTGAAATCTACTATCGCAACAAATCCCCGCAACAAGCGTTTCACTAAGTATGGCTATGACACCAGCCACATCCTCGTCTGTGAATTATGCGTAGCCATTAGAGGCTTCTCATGGGGGAGTCCATTAATTTTCCGGCCTCACCTTCAATTGGGAATTTCATTAACCCTTTGACGAATGGCACCCACCGGTGGTGCCACCTATGTCTGGCACATGGGACATTGGTACCCAATTTTGGAAGCCACCATATTTTCTTGTTTCTTACCAACTGCTGAATTCAGTAAGCCATTAAAAGAGCTTTCTCCTGAAACAGTGTCACTCACCGGTAGTGCCAGTTGCGTGCGAAAGGAAGGGAGTGAGGTCCCATGGGCGCGTCACGTCGAAATCCGCATTGTAGTCAAAGGGTTAAATACCATCGTCGCAGTCTTCAGGAGTTCATAACCACGACTGGGTGATAGGGAGAGTTCTGGATGATGATGAGGATTACAAACCTTCGGCATGACCCTTCACTATGACATCCGGAGATGAGTAGGGTGTATCTACTGGTGATATAAAGTATAATTAGTACTACGGTACGAAAGGTTTCCTTTAACAGAACATGCTGGACCCAGTACTCGAAGTACTCAAGGAATGCAACGATGATTACGATGAAGAGGCAAAGCAAGCATGGACTACTCTGTACGACATCATTGCTGAAGTAATTGAAATCTACAGAAGTAAAGTATAAGATTACGTCAAAGATCAGACATTTACCATTTTTACTAAAGAATTGATGGTATTCTTCTAGCCCTTACATTGAACTTTGTATGAAATCAAAGTGCATCAAGGTTGATAATAATAATTTTGTTGAATAAATTTCTTTCCCAATATGGCCCACACCCTCTAAGTAGTTCTGTACATACAGATAAAACTTATTCTACAGCAATTTATTTTTTCTTCAAACTCAAGTACGGTATTCTACCAAAGCCTTTCCATCGTCGACACAACAGAACTACACAAATTCTCATCAAAACATGGACCGCTCCCACATTCAAAATTCCACTGCGCATTGCAAGCTATCTTCCCAGACCAAAGGATGTTCGTGTTTTGCTAGTGAAACAAGGCATCAGTCCACTCTTGCCGGGAGCTCTTACCCAGATGTTTCGTTTTTCTGTGTCTTGTAAGAGCAGCTCATACATAAGAAAATTCACATTTCCATTTTTTGAGGCGACAAGTAGACAGGAGCGCAATTAACACTTTGCCGACAGCCATTTCAAAGTTAGTAAGACTAAGAGCACGGCTCACTGTGCTGCATTGGATCACATAAAAGATTAACCTCAGCCAGCACTACATCTAGAAGATGTCAGGTATTTTTCAATATTTCCATAAAATCATTTTATTCTCACTCCACACAAAATTCTACGTCTCCTGACGCGCAGGAAAAGATTTTTAGAAGCCCATCTAATAGGAAATGCCCATGAAGACAAATCTTTAGTCTTTCCGGGATCATCACTAAAATAATGAATACGGAACGACTCCCGCTTTATTAAAGTCATCCTCGACAAGAATGACTAGGAGATCTAACATACTTACAAGATTCTGGATGAGACTTAATAAATTAGCGGTTTGCTGAAAAGGACGGATCTGGAAGCCGACTGCTAACAAAAACGGATCGAGACTTTCTCTGTGCATACCCACAAATTAAGTGAGTTTTATCAAATTACATAGAATTAAGTCAACGGAAAGGGAAACTGGGGCTTCAATTTTCCGATAAGGCTTCACTTTTTACCCGTCCACCTATTACGACTGTCCATTGTATGACTATCCGGCTTCATGAACTTCCCACTTCTCCGCTATATGTTCCTCAGAGTGTCTCAATACATCGAAATCCTATTGCTGAATTTCAAGTTCCAGACCACAGCCCCGAAACTTCGCATGTACCGCACAATGGTTAACGATCTAAGAAACTCTTTAGGGGAAAACATTCCAATGGAACCCAAAGAGAAAGCAGAGCTCCGTGAAGGAAATCAAAAAGCGAAAGGACCCGATCCGAAAATCGACGAAACTGAAGGAGAAAGCGACGAAACAGGTCGGTTCAACCGTTCGTTTGAAAAGTAAGGGCGTAACCAAAGATTTCTTTCAGTTATGGCAGTCCGACAGCAGCTGAGTCGACTCACAGAAAGGCAACATGCTGCAATCATCAGAACATTTGCCAAAATAGGGAGCAACCCAGTGAAGAATGGCCTCGAAATTTTAATCAGGTAAGAACTGCCCTCTCTTAGCTCTCCCTTTATCTCCTTCAATTCGAACCTTGCAGACTCTTTGCTGAGTATCCACACTACAAACGAATATGGCCACAGCTTCGAGGAATACCAGATTCTTCCCTGATCAACGCCATCGAAGTCAGGTAAACAGTTTCTGATCAGATCGAAGGGAGTAAGTGTCGCTGGAGACTGAAAATGAACGATCGATGGGAGTTAGTCAATTTGGTTGTATAATTTTACCCGACTCAACAAATTCGCCACTAGCAAATGCATTTCCCAAGAATGGACTCCACAAGAACAAATCTAGCTTTTATATACTTCCCTTAGGGGTGAGTCGTAGCCAAAGTAAAAAGAAACGGAACTTGTCCTACCGCTTCGGATCTTACGCAAAATATAAGGCTAACCTGAAAAGGAACAAAAAAAGAAAGGTGCAGATAACTTGTTGATTCCAGAAGGCATGCTTCGGTCTACATGTGTGGCCTAACTGCAATAATTCATTCGATGAATCGAGTAGACGAACTGGCCATTCAAATGAAACGAATCGCAAAGGCGCATGTCAAATGGAACGTGCACCGAAGTCATGTTGAGGTCAGCCTCTTAAGTAATTGAGTCTCCCATCCCAAGACTAACCTTCATAAACCAGCTATTGCACGAACCTTCGCAATAAGCGTTCCTCTTAATACGGCTATCACATCAGTCACAACCTGTCCTATGCTAAGCCACAATAGGATTGCTAATAAAGATTCGTTCGCTTTTCCCACTCCTCAGATTCAGCGTGGAAGTTCGGTGAACACCATCGCCATTCATTACCGCGATTAGGTGAGGGGGAGAGCCTTCGCCAAGACCCTTCACTACGGTATCTAGGGTGCAATAGGTGGCATCGTCATGGAGATCTCGACAGTAATTGACTTCCATCGGAACCCTTCAACTTGTCACCCCTCCCTCATATGTAGGAAATTGTTCTGGATAATGACCATAAGCTCAAAATTGTAATACGGCTAGCCATCGTTTTTCAATGAGTGACTGCAATTCTTTTCACGACTTGAAACAAGAGATATGAATGACAAATGAGAATCAGTACTACTGTATACGGTAGGACAATTAGTACTACGGTGCGAAAGGTTTCTTTTTATAGCACATGTTGAACCCGGTACTCGAAGTAATCAAGGAATGCAACGATGATTATGATGAAGAGGCAAAGCAAGCATGGACTACTCTGTACGACATCATCGCCGAAGTAATTGAAATCTACAGAAGTAAAGTATAAGAGTACGTCAACGATCAGACATTAACCATTTTTACTGAAGAACTGGTGTTATTATTCTACTCCTTACATTGTACGGAACTGGTGTTATTCTTCTATTTATTACATTGTACTATGCAATCAAGTGTAGTGTATCAAGGCTAATAGTAATAAACTCATTGAAGGAGTTTTTCCCCATTAACGCCTGTATCTTCTGAGTCCTTCTGCAAATACATCTGTACATACAGATGAAACTTATTCTACAGCATTTCCCCCTCCCTTCAGACTAACACACAGTCTTCTACTGAAACCTTGCTTCGTCGACAGAACAGATCTACACCTTGTCACCTAGAAATCTGGACCGCTCCCACGATCAATCCCATTTCGCATCGCAAGCTACCTTTCCAGATCATGATATGTTCGTCTTATGCCAGAGAAGCAACGCATTGGTCCATCAATGCCGGGAGCTAATGCTCGGACATATCGTTTTTCTGTGTCCCGTAAGAGCAGCTCAGACATCAGAAATTCACATTTCCGTATTATTGAAGCCACAAGTACACAGGGGTGCGATTAACACATTTCCGACAGCCACCCAGAAGTCAGTAAGTTCAAGTGCACGATTCACTGTGCGGCAGCAAATCACAGAGAATTGACGGCACTGAACCACCGTCTATACCACACCCAACGGTTACCAGGTAGTTTTACAATCTTTTCTAATGAAACCATTTTAATGTCACCCTAACGTAACCTACTGCTCATGAGCGGTAAGGAACTCCTTGTGAACGAGGAGATGCCAGAACAGGTAAACCTTGAGTTTTTATGGGTTCATCACCTGACTGATGAATGCAGAACAATCCCCTCTTCTTGGAACTCTCCAACCACGACACCAGGACCGAAGGATCTAACAAATCCACAGAAGTTCTCGCTAGTTGTGCTGAAGGGAACAGATAGTAATCGACCGGTAGCAAAAACGGGGATTAGGACCTCTATCGTACACGCCCACAGCTGGTGACGTGCGTTCTACCAAAGTACCCGGAAATAAGTAGATGGAAAGGGGAAGCGGAGCTTCGATATTTAAGTAGGACTTCACTTTTTACCCATCCATCTATTGCGACTATTCACTAAATGAATGTCAGTCTCCAGGAACCTCTCACTACTACGATATGTGCTGTTCCTCAGAGTAACTCCATAATTTGAAATCCTGCTTTTCACTGAACTTCGAATTCCAGGCCCTACCTTCGGTCCCGAAACCTTGTATGTACCGCACAATGATTAACGGTGAAAGTGCCTCTCTAGCGAAAAGCATTCCAGAGGAATCCAAAGAGAAAGCGCAAATGTGTGAAGCAAACCACGAATCGAAAGGACCCGCTCCGACAACGGACAAAATTGAAGGAGACAGCGACGAGACAGGTCGGTTGAACTGTTCGTTTGAGTCATAAGAGTGAAAGACGAAAGACTTTTCCAGTCAGGGAAGTTCATGAGCAGTTAAGCAGACTCACAGAAAGGCAACAAGCCGTAATCATGAGAACATTCACTAACATGGAGAACGACCCGGTGAAGAATGCCCTCGAAATTTTTGTCAGGTACGAAACTGCTCTCCTTAGGTCCTTCCTTCTTATCCTTTGATTCGAACATTGCAGACTCTTTGCTGACTATCCACACTACAAACGAATATGGCCACAGTTTCGAGGGATACCAGATTCTTCCCTGATCAACGCTATCGAGTTAAGGTAAGTAAAGTAGACAGTTTTTGTTTAGGTGGAAGAGAGTAAGCGTCGCTGGAAGCTGAGTATGAACGACCGATGGGAGCTAGCCGATTTGGTTGTATAGTTGAACTCTGTTCAATAGATTCGGGACTTCCTGTTGGCAGAAAACAGAAAGATTGAATCGAAACTTCAGCAACTGTTTCAGCTATTACCCGGATGGGGTAATCCTGAAAAACATCAAACAAAGAAGAGTATTTTAGGGATTTGCAGATGGCAAATAGACTTTACTGATTTTAGAAGGCATGCGTCCGTCTATATATGTGGCTTGACTGCAATAATTCGTTCGATGACTCGAGAACACGAATTCTCGAATCACATGAAACGAATCNTCAGCTATTACCCGGATGGGGTAATCCTGAAAAACATCAAACAAAGAAGAGTATTTTAGGGATTTGCAGATGGCAAATAGACTTTATTTACTGATTTCAGAAGGCATGCGTCCGTCTATATATGTGGCTTGACTGCAATAATTCGTTCGATGACTCGAGAACACGAATTCTCGAATCACATGAAACGAATCGCCAAAGCACACGTCAAATGGAACGTGCATCGAGGTCATGTTGAGGTCAGTTTTTTGAAACGTCACATTCATGAGCCTCCATTTCAAGACCAACCCTTTACTAGGGTAACAAATCCCCGCAACAAGCGTTTCTCCAATAAAGGCTATGGCTATAAAATTAGACACAACTTCTGTAATTATGTGTAGCCATAGGAGGCTTACCATAGGAGATGCTATTGATTTTTCCGGTCCTCCGATTCAATTGGGAAACTTGCTGAATACCATCGTGGCATTAATCAAAAGTTTACAGCTACGATAAGGTCAGCGGCAGAGTTTTAGCTCACGATGAGAATACAACCTTTGCCATGACCCTTTACTATGATCTCTAGGACTTGGGGAAGGTGTAGACGGGGAATCGTAATGTTGATGTCAAATAGTTATTGAACTCCAGGATACTTTTACTCAGAACTAGCCAAGGGAACCCTTCGACCTGTACCCCTTCTTCATGAGTAGGAAATATTTCAGATAACAACCATTCTTTTTCCTTCTCATACTTTTTGGGACTGAAAAGGAGAAGCTGAGTCATCAAGGAACTTCCTTTTATAGCACATGGTGGACCCAGTACTCGAAGTAGTCAAGGAATGCAACGATGATTTCGACGAGGAAATAAAGGAAGCATGGACTACTCTGTACGATATTCTTGCCGAAGTGATCGAAATCTACAGGAACAAGATGTAAGAGCATGCAGAAGACCAGGCTCCAGCCGTTACCATCATCGCCCTTATTGTTTTTCTTTTTCTACGCGTTTCTTTCCATTTTCTAGGTAACCACGTATGTGAGTGAAGCCGTCATACTAAAGAATAATTACCATATTATGACACCGCCTGAAATCTGTTAGATGCTTCAAAATACGTAGATAAAACTTGTTTGACAGCGATCTTATCCTCGTTTTAACTCCAGTACATCTAAATGGTCCTCAGTTTCTTCTTCCAGTTCGTTTTAGAACAGCATCTATCACTTAGGATCAACTGAATGGTAACCATTTCGTCTCTGTATGCCCCCACTCAAGTTTCTACTTATCCCTCCAGTTCATGTTTTCGACGCCCAGTTCTTTCATCAGTGTAAAACGGACGTGTCAGATTCGCTTCAGATACTATGAAATGGGGTTGTCCGATACGTCTGACGCTTGATATCTCGGAGATTCCGTTTCCGATTACGCGACAAACACATCAGGGCGGAAGTCTCTTGTTGCTATCTTAACGAGTGGTTTCAGCCTTTGAACCCACCCTGAACCTCCTCTCCGGCAATACTTATCACTCATCTCATCGGCTATCATTTAAAATGCATGAGACATAATAATCTCAAGGTAAAGCCTTGGGACGTAGATCAATTCTGAATGATGCGCCCAAGCTTTCGACTTGTATTCAGAATCGTAGTGGCGTAATGTAAGCGTATGTGGCCGATACAATGGCTTGCCGATAGTCAGTCAGTGCTTTTATCCTCCCAGACGAGTCTGGTACCAATCAACCGACCTCGATGGGGTGGAAGGAAAAGTTGGCCTAGGCAGATATCGATCCGGGACACGAACACGTTACTGCACGTGTGAGATAGTGCGCCACTTGCCACTACACCACTTCCGCCCTGCACGAGAGTAATAACAATATGAAACCTGGAAAACTTTCGAAGAAGTGGTTTTCAGCGAATATCATAAAGTACGTTAAACTGAAGCGTTGGAACTGAGCATCCCTAAAAATATCCCCAGATAATCCACATGGCCTATATGATATATAAGGTGAGTCCATAGACCACAGAAGGTTCAAGTCGTCCCAGGCGTGTGGTGATGTCTCAGTTATACGTATAAAAACCATGCATTAATGCATTGCTTTTTACGTCCGACTAAGATATTTCGTTTTTATGCATGTAAATCCTGAGGTCAACTTATACACCAAATGATTCCTATTTCCGTCCTCATTTTCCGATGCGAATTAGGCGAAACTGCGATCAACACATTTCCGGCAGCCGTTTCTTGGAACTAAGTGAGCGGAAAACGTTAAGAAGGTAAATGTCTGCAGTCACAGTAATTGATTAGACAGCCGTCTCTCCCACATCCAATAAAGTCATGTTTCTAGCGCCAAATATATTATCATACTAATCACATGTTACACAAAACTCCAGCGGTGATTGAAATAATTAGGCTCCTCATCGATGAACGGTTCTCAAATGAGCCCGCAGATCGGTAATCGCGGCAAGAAGAAAACGTGCAAAATAGTTTTTTTTTTCTTTTTTTCGAAACTTAAACTATAGCATGAGCCGCATGACCGAAGGATAAGTCGCGGACTGCTAATAGTGAAACCTGAGATTGCTGGAGCCTAACCGAACAACTTTTCTGGTTATCACAAATAAAAGGGCTAATTAGTCTTCGTTGCCGACGGAATCACTCTCTCATCTACTGAATCTACACACCGGATTCGCAAGACTCCAATCGGGTACATTCAGAGCGCCATAACTCAAATTCCCCCGTTCACCAAAAACCGTACCGTTCAGAATAAGTTCACAAAATCACTACTATGCCTTTGAGCGAAACCGCACGTTGTAGCTCAAATCAACAAAGGTACCACTGTTCTGACAAAAGATATTTAAAGCCGTCCCATATTAATACCCACCATTCACATCAAAGCAGAAAAAAGGAGACCATGGAAGCATTTCTACTCGTCCAGTTCCCCATAAGTGTTTCTAAAACACTCGCGTACCGTTCAGAATGAGTGACTCGGAATTCCGATCATATTCAGTAGATGCGTATATGCCGGATTCGCCTTGCTTCCCAAAGTACTCTTCTGGTCTCGGTGAAGGTGGACGAAAAGGTTTGGATATATGTGATGGACTATACCGATGGAACTCTTCAAAATAGCTGTCTGAAATATTCACATCGATCAAATATTTGAAGACATAACATCGTTTTGATCACTTACCTGAAAGAAACATCGAACGGTAATCGTATTCTGATGGAGGAAGCTCCGATGTTTCCATAGGATTTGCAAGCTGACTGTCATATGAGCTACGGTACGAATCATAAAGTGGGCCATGGTCTGGCAAGGAGTAGTCCAGCAATGTGAAAGAAGGAGAGTGAGGTCTGAAAAATGCTCTTTTAAAGTCAGACCGAGCGAAAGCTGCAGCAAAGATGTGTTGGTACTTTCAAAAATCGCCTCAGCTGAGACCAAGACAACCTTTTCGAAATGCTATAGATGGTCACTGACATCCCCACACGTAGCATCTATTCTTCTGAAGGTCTATACCCCGATTTCGAATTAAGTGCTTGTGAATTAGCGCTTATAAAAGAAATGAAATGCTACCGTCGATTTTTGCTGCTCGAAATCACTACAATGCACGCGCACTGATAGCCAATTAAATCAAAACTACAGGAGACAGTGCCGAAAGATCATAAGTGTGAGTGATATGCAACAACCAAAGAGGAGTTGCATGAATACCGGTTCCCCAAACCCGCTCAGAAGAAAATTAACAGCAATAAGAAAAAATCACGGGGAAAAATAAGCGCACTGTGTAATAGTTACCAATTTCTCAAATTTATGAACCCCACCTTTTCCGTCTTGCCTTATCTGCATAAGAAGGTCGAAAAGGTGAACGATGAGCTGAGCTGATGATCTTTGGACGGTGAAGCATTCTCTGGAAAGAATAGCTCCAATATCAAAAATAAGTACGAATTCCGAAGATTATACCACGAAAAACGAAACCATACAGATAAACACTATATAGAGATTGGTTGGTACTTCCTGTTCTTGCATTCAATTAAGATCAAAGTCGATGCTCTGTTCAGTAAGCAGATTGGAACTTAACAAGTTACCTACAGAACCGATGGAATCATGCAGTAGCAAAATGGAGAAAACTTCATCTTGGTTATTCTTCTATTCGTCATTTTGACATCTTTAAAAGAAATCATCTTAACCGCTATAATGGAGCAAGCTCGACAGCAGTTTCGAGACAAATACTAAACGATCGCCATAAACCAACCTTGGCCATGCTTTGCAGAGTATGTCTGATTTCGACATAGTTTCGCCATTTATCGAAGTACTTCCGCATAAGTCTTTTCGATCGAGCTTTTTTAAACTGTGCCAGTTTCAAGGATATCCGTACTTTCTGACTATCGACTCTGAAAAAGGTTCATTCAGCGCCAACGGCTCGATCCACTTTAAAATCTGACCACTATCTGGATGTAGAATAAAAGGTTTACATAGGGGTCCTAGGATTCTACCCCATGACTCCCTCACCAAGGCTATGTCATACAAACCACCAAAAACCACTTCCATCTTAGAAATATGGGAGACTTACAATGCTAGCGAGGGATTGCTGCGATGCACTGGTTCGTTTCGCTTGGCGTAATTGGACGGTGCGAACACTGAAAAGAAATGACCAATGATCATTAATAGTCAGCATTATGTATGGACAAAATTTTGTCGCTCCCCAAAATAGCGATAACCACAAACAAAGGAAATAAATTGTCAAACGGGAGAACAGGAATGAGCGAAGCAATCAAGACAATAGCGACGAATAGGAGACAAGAGGATCGTTTTTAGCACTTTTAGCTCGAGTAAAAGAGCAAGTAAGACCAATTTCGAAAGAAGACTGAGCTCACTTTGACAATTCCAAACTCCTTGGAATGTTTCCCAATCATGTCGCCGTTCTTGTCGCTTCCGGCGGTTGTCCAATACTCGAGCACGCCAGACGTCCCAAAACTGTCGAAGCCACAGCAACTCCATTTGATCGCGAAATCGCTGGAGGCCCAATGATATCTGGAACAGTGCAATTCGAAAACATATAACAGCAAGACTCACCATGAACCAACCTCATCTGATTCGGACTTCAGTGTTTTCTTAAGAACAGCTTTAGTTTCTTTATCAACAGCATGCCACAATTTTGAACGCCACAACTCTTCGATCAAATTCTGCGCTGTTGTCTCAATATGAACATGGATGCCGTCCCTAGAATGAACGTCAAATGCTTCACTAGCTAAACAACTCTAATACATTGACAAAAAAGGTAAAGTAACAAAGTTGGTAATGATTACAGCCCTACCTCAATTCCTCTTTAATAGCTGATTTTGCTTTCTCTGCGATAACCTCATCCAGCAACTGCTCAAGAAGCTGACGGACTACTTTAATTTTTTCTTCTTTCAACTTTTCAGATTTCAAACGAGCTCGCTCCCTTTCTCGCTCCCTCCGCTCTTCGTTTAATGAATCCATAAGGAGCTCCCTGAAAACACCACATTCAGAATCAGAAACTGTTATTAGACGAGGAATGATTGTGCTGACCACAATGTTCGTGAAAAGTAGTGAATTTTTCAAACGGAACCATTAGTATCACCTGATGAATTCATCGACTAAGTCGCTCGAAATGGAGGAGACTAGTTCTTCAACGTTAACAGCTCGACATATTGTGAAGCTCTCCCTATCTGCCACTTCGCGTACTACATTCTCCACCGTAGAACTAACCTAAAACCAGTTCCATAGAAAAGAAGTCTGAAAAGACTAACTGCTACATAACCTTCACCGACGAGCTTCAACTGAAAAACTGTTACACTGACCCAGGATCGAGCTTCACGGTGTTCCTCTCTCATATGCGCTATGGAAGCTGGCTTCATTGGAGCCGGATCTTGTTCAGCAAACATTAACCGTTGAGCTTCTGACTGAAAGGATGCCGAGTATCACTTCCTACCCAGGGATACCTCTTCGATTAAGCAGCCAAAAGCTTGAACATTCTTTGATACTCACCTGAAGGGAATATTTTTCGAACACGGCTGAAAGCACTGGGTCCTTGTTATATCGATTGGAATCGTCAAATGAATCAGTAATTGTAGCGATTGAAAAGAAGGCGAAGGGCTCAGGTCCATAAACAACCTAAAACAAAACAAATGAGTAAATGTGGGATAGCTAGATTATATGGAAATACGATTCTACCGTGAATTTACCTGACTCCATGCCGCATGGTTTTTCGCATCTATCCAAAGATAAGGCCGTGCAGGCGCGTCAGGGTCTTGAACGAAGACATCACGATTGAATAGCACCTGCGACATGATTTTAATCACGTGCATACACAAAGGCAAAAATTCAAACCGTTCTTTGTATCCAATCTTTAGACCAACGAGGTCGGACATTCGATAAAACTATGTACAGTAGAAAACGACCATTACCAGGTAGTTGTGAAGTGATTTTCGTCATTTGAATTTTTAGAGATGGAGTCGAAATCTTCCTCCTTTGAACAATATCGGAGGGATGACTTCAATCTTTGAGTTTCAGGTGAACTTCGAATTCGAAAATCTTTCAAGATAGTAGAAGAAAAACCAAATCTGCTTTGGGCTCCATGTTGAAACACAACTACCAGGAAGAAAATTGCAAACTTAAAAGTTAAAATTTTTCTCGCCGAAATTTTTTTCACTAGTGCTTAGTTAAAGAAATTACAAGTATTTACTGGGCAAGAAATGACAAAGAAATAAGAAGTTTTCGTTTAACATAAAGTGCAGAAAGTATTTGTAGCCTCTACGACATCCATTTCAGGACAAAATTCAGAATGTCAAATAATTTACTTGATCATGGTCCATACTGTTCGGATACACTCTATAGAGAGCAAGAGAATTGAAAGCATCTTCTCGATCATCCCAAGCAAGAACCCGTAGCAAGTACGCGGTGTCTAAGAGGAACTCAGAACGAATACCATAAGCAGTCATCATCGTGTGTAGAGCATTCGACAGAACCTACAAAAAGCTCTATGGCTGTAAGTATAAAGGTACGATAGTTTCGAAAAATTACCGTATTGAAATAACGATGGCATATGCAGCACTGAAGAAACGTCGCTTCATTCCTTAGTAAACGGAAAAATCTGAAACTGACGCATTGGAAAACATACAGAACTTCACACACAATCATTCTATCTAGATGGCCAAAATTAGAGATCATCACTGGGAAACAACAACTTAGTTCAAGAAAACAGCATACCTGACATAGTTCTTATTTTGTAGAGCACTAGAGAGCTGGAGGGCTAGTCGAACTGGTTTAGATTCACGCACTTCCTTCCGATATGACAACACCTACAAAGAAACCAACCAAAAAACGATAGTATCCAAGAATATGAGTAATCAACAGCAGAAATTTACGCTTTGGAGATGGAAACTGAGTTTACCTGTCTCATAATGTTACTGTCATGAAGATGTAACATAACATCATAACCACGAAATTCAGCCTCAGTGTTGAATGTTTCTCCTTGCATTTCTAAAAGCGCCAGAGGTTCAAACCCAGCTAATCCACATTGATTTGAAAACAAAATAATAAAGACGGTTGTAACCACAGATCAAAAAGTTAAACCAGATCCTAACCTGACATAGAAGCTAGCTACATGAGCTGAGCTTACCTAGATCCTCATAAAGATGTCTCAGGGATTGAAGACATTTAGCAAGGTTTTCGGTGTTCATATTTTGGTCGAAACGATCGAAGCCCAAATGACAAAGCTTGTATGCGCACAGAATATGAATCCGAGCACATCTGGAAATACAACTACCCTCAAAGGAACTATCAGAAGAGATTGCAGTTTAGAAACTTGAAATACGGAAATGTTCCCCTACTACAGCTCAATTATTCTCCTGAGTTTCGTCATTAAATGGCATAGCCATATTCATTTTACCTCTTCACGTGAGAACATCTGTAGCAGTTTCATTAGCGCCTTCTTTCTCTAGCGAATGAAGAACGGATCTCCATAGCGAATTAACCGCAAGAAGAAAAGAGCGTCAGTTTGTATTAAGCCCATTAAATAAGCGACCATTTTCATCGAAAAGTTAGAAAAATAAGGGCAAAGTCAGCAATAACACTATCTGTGTACAAGCGCGCTATGGGGTCGTAAAATTCGGTAAAATACTGAAACGAAACATAGTGTTAGACAGACCTCTCGAAAAGAGATACAGCTGTGCTATCCGTTAGCATGAGCTGTGTAATTTCCTTGCGGATAGCACGAGTACGGCTCCATAAAAAGTCGTACCATGTTGCTAAATCATCATCACTTCCAGGCACATCATCAAGCACCTGGAAGAAGATATTAATATTTTTTTCTAAACTACTGAAGTACCGAGCTGGAATGGACGTACGAAGCCAGGCAACCTACATTTTTGAGAAGATAATCCATAGTATTTTTCAACAATTCTTTTGAACGCAACTCGTGAGGCAAAGGGTTATCCTGGTCAGCCGCACTTCTTGCGTATTCCTAGGTACGAAATGGGAAGTTTCGATTGACTGCGATTAACTATTAACATTGTGAAGACTATAGGAAATTCTCAATGCATACTGTAATTTTATTTACTAGTATTATCTTCAATTATTCATGCTCCATCGCTTTTGCTCAGACAACCATAACAATCAAACGAGTAATATCCAGCATCACGGCTGCCTCAGCTAAACACCTTATACGTAACAACGTAACCACAATCTACCTTTACTAGGCGATTGGGATCCAATCCGCTGGGACCGCATTCATATGGAGATATCCGTTTTTGAACCACACGAACGTACCTGAATGCAAAAGTTATGGATGCACTGCACATATGAAATAAGTTGACCACCCCACAAGAAAGTACCTCTCTTTTTCAGTGCACATTCCCAAACATAGTCCTTGAACTTTGCGACTTTTTTCATCACTATGCTTGTTTTCCTCCTTGAAACCAACTTTACATCATTCGAAACAGGTAGAGAAAAAAGTAACTGTCTTGCCTCTCTCAGCTTTGACAACAGCTTATCTCTTTCCTCCAGTACTTGATACTTATCAAATTCAGTTGGGCAATGCTTCCCGATAAGAGCAAGGAGAGATCTGAATAAGAGGCAAAATTGGGGCTTACGAAGAAAGATTCGAAACACTATTTATTCCTACTACCTATTTGATGATTAAAAGAAAAACCTCAGCAGGACAGCTTCTTCTCGAGTAGCTGTTTTTGATTCAGCAGCATATGGGGTTGCTCTGAATCTGGGTGAGGACACCGAATCCTGTCCTGCCGGATGAGATGAACTAGAGGGAAGGCTGAACTTGACGCCATCCTGAAACCTTTGTCTGTTACTCTCACAGCAGTTACTACAAATAAAATAAATCTCAGAATCTCACATTCTGATCTTTGTCAGAAAGTTCTTCCCGGCTTGTAGATCGTTTAGCTCGAACCAGTTTTGTAGCTCTTTTTATGGCTGCTGCACTCGCTATGCTGGTAGAGCTCCTTTTGCGAAATATGGAAGAGGAACGCGGTGCGCTTTCACCGGAAGAGCCAGCAGGATTAGCAATTCGGTTAGACGGCTTTACGTTTTTTTCAACGTTTCGCACCAGCTTGAACCTGCTGACAGAACCTCCTTCGCCATCACTTTTAGGTTGAGCAATTTTGTGGGCTGAAAGTACCGAAATTATATTTAAAAGAAAAAAATATGGACGCAGTGTTGCAGAAATGAGTTCCCAACGTGATTGAAGTGAAGTCAATCAAGCTCACCTGAATCACTACCCGATTCCGAATTGAGCCAATCAGCAAAACGTCTATCCCTCGGTTTCTGAACTCTGGATTGAAGCGCTCCTAAAAATCGTGATAGCAACCTGGATAATTTTATCCATATTCAAAGCACTATACCTTCAGTGCGAATTGGATTTTGAACAGAAGTGGGACCACCACGAGTTAGGTTGCCAAATAACCGACTCGAAGGGAATTGACGTTTGAACAAAGAAGGAGGTTCTACAAAACCAAATAATTAAGTCCGAGGAAAGAAAAATTAGAATAATTAAGTCTAATTCAAACAGCGAAGAGATGGAGTTGGTGGAGGCAGACCAGTGAGTTTCTCTACAAAAGTAAATATCACTACGTACCTGTTGGTTTCGCATTACCGTCGCCGAGCTGTTCTTGCTCGGCTTTTTTCTTCAGAAAACTCCCCGGTATTTTAAATTCGAAAGACATTGAAGGAACGTGATCAGAGTTTAACAACCTGAATTCAATCAGCAAAATGAAAAAGAACAGAAGAATACGGCCCATCATTAAGCGTATTTGAATAAATAAAAGTTGAATAAGTAATTACAGAAAAATTCTCGATCAAAATAAGAAAAAATGAATGATATGAAGGCTTGGCACTTCAGATTAAAAATGAAAATCACAATCAAGTCAAAAATGGGATAGCAACAAAATCTCTTGCTTATGAACATTTTAAAAAATAGGACAGAGGACTTGAAGGAAGCATAGGACGGGCCATAGTAGTAACCAGAAACAAACTTTGAAAAAAATTTACTAAATAATACTGTTGCCTAACTATTTTTAAACCACCTCCAAGAAGAAAATTCGCTTAATTAACGAAGAGGGCTCTTTAAACCATTAAATTGTCTAAGCCGCTACAATTTGGCGAAAAACGCGCTCCATTGAGAGGGCAAAAATCGCTTCGCAGCCGCGACGCTTCTCCACTCAATTTTCCTCGGGCATTCTTCAGCCTCGTGCCGTCTACTCATACGAGCTGGCGCTTTTCATCCTGTCGTTAGGTAGTTGTTGAGTTCCTTTGTAAAAGCGTTTTTTGTCAGTAGGGGGAAAGGTAGGAGCAGTGGATTTACCCGTGTCAGTCTTCCTTGTGCTTGTGTTATTTGTCTAAGACTCAGTTCTGGTACATTTCCTTGGTACTTCTTTGTTTTTGATGTTTTTTNGGGGGGGGGGGGGGGGGGGGAAGGTAGGAAAAGTGGGTTATCCGTCTCAGTCATCCTTGTGCTTGTATCATTTGTCTAAGACTCCGTTCTGGTACATTTTCTTGGTACTTCTTTGTTTTTGATGTTTTTTGTTCTCGTGTAACTTTATGAGTGGTAAGCTTAGCAGAATCGCTCGGAATATGTTTCAGAAAATGGTTCCTGGCGATTTTGAAGCGGACGATATAATATCATTAAGAAAACTTACAACGGATCAACTAATAGAACGGTTACTTTACTTGAAGGTGCGTTTGGTTGTTGTCGACTATTGGTTTCTTATTCTAGTGTGTCTTGAATGCTCAAACCTTGTTTTGTTTAGAGCCTCCATGAGAAAGATACCAAGGACTTTGAAGAGTACAAGGCGAGCAGTTTGGAAATGGAAACAATAATGGAACGAGAGATTGAAGATGCACAACGAGAAGCCAAAGCGACGGCTGCCAAACTTCATCAGATGACAGTTGAAGCAGAACGTGCCCATGTAAGTTTTAGCCCAGTTCAAAATTCGAGCCTGATATGGTTGGGATATAAGAAGACTAAAAGATTGTAACTCTATACGACATTAGAGGTATGCAGATAATCTTTGAAGGACTCCTTTTCGGTCCAGTCATGAGAAGCTCAATATGCGGTTGTTCCTCAAGTGTTGCTATGAATAGCAAATTCCTTTACATATATTTATTTCAGAACAAAAACGAGGCGGAAAAGCGAGAGTTCCTCAAAATTGAAGAGGCTTTACGCCGCGAGGTAATATTTTTATCTAAAAGCTTTAATTTGAACATTTATGCTTTGCTTTTTTATGTAGGTTTTGATTACGTTGAAATGATCTCATTTTTGAGATTTGGTGGGGAATCGCACGTTTGTTAGTTCTCAGTAGCCCCTGGCTTGAACCGAGATCATGTCTTCCACTTTGCTTATGCAATGTGATTACTCTTAAATCACTCCTATTCACCTCTGTCAAGTCGAAAACGTTTTTAATTGTGTTAGGTCGTGTTGGGTCTCGGGTTTTTGTAACTTCCTTGCTGGCGTCAAATGTTGAATGGTATTTGTTTTTGTAGTAGCATCAAATCGCAGCTGTTCATAATGGCGTATAAGCTGCATGATTTGCATGAGCGCGATGGATTTTTTGTTTGGCTAACAGAACATATCTTGNTATTTCGAAACATTCGAGCTCTGAAATTCTCCATATCTTGGGACACTTCTGCTTCCTAATGCATTCATTGGTTATCATGCGTTTCTCATCAACACCTCCCAATTGCGTCGCCAAATGGAGATCGATTGTTGGATTTACCTTTTTTGGTTTCGCTATCGGTTCCTATGCTTTCCTTCTTGAGACGAAGATTTTTTAAGTGGGAGAGCAACTTACACTGATGAGACGTCACTCGATAAACCACTATTTTGTTATCTTAACTAAAGTCGATACCAAAATCATCGATTAGGTGATACAAGTTCTTCTTCAGAAAGAATCTCAATGTAGTTTGAGGTAGGCTAGCATCGGAAAAAGAATTGTACTCGATTTAGTGACTTTATAATGATTTGAGTGCAGCAAAAGGTTTTTCGAGATGGAGAACTTTTGTATTCGGATTCGAATATCCGTTATTAATAGTACCAATCTTTAATATAATGTTTGCCCACAATGTCGGGCAGCAGGCAGCCTCCATACCCCTTGTAAAACATATGCTTGTTAGGGTGATTATTCTTCTGGTCACGCTATCATACGTCTTTTATTTTCCAGCGATCCAATAAGATGACAAGTGGGGAGCGTATGTTTGAGAAAAACCAATCGAAGATTAATATAAATGGAAAAAAAGTTTCTCATGATCACGATTATGGGTAGGAGTCACTCTAATTTATCATCTTCCGAAGAAAAAGGGTTTGGGTGGTTCAGGGTTGTCGTAGTTGATTTCTAGGTCTCCTCTGAAGCTGTAGACATCTCTGAGAAATTTAATGATTGATGATGATATAGTAGCAGCGACATTTTGCTGTCAAATTGTCGTCTTGGCTCATGCTCTGCCTATCAAAGCCGTTCCTTTAAAAGGTCCTTGAGGATCGCTTCATCTTCGGAAACTTTTTTCTTTTCTCCTCATGTGACAGACACGTGTTGCTTTCTTTTTCTGTTTTTCTTGCTTTTCAAACTCATGTTTACTCGTGTTTGATGCAGGTTATTTCTGAGAGCAGTCAGTCGTGGCTAAATTAATTGTCGATTATTTTTATTTTTTAATATTCCAAATGTTACGGCAATTGATCTCTTTTCGTAAGAAATGTATATTTACATTGGTGAATCACCATGCACCTCCCACGTCCGCTTTTGTCATTTCGTGGTGGAATTTAGGGAGCCGTAGAATACTAAGACGAAGAAAACGATGTCTTCTTTTGAAACGATATGACTACCGCTTGAATAGGTCGATCCTAACACTACCCATCGGTAAATTAACTAAATTGTTGTGCATCTAATTTTCCGCATGAATTTATTGCAAAAGTTCAATCCTGAATTTCAACTTATCCCAGGTTCCCTCGACATTTTGATTTGATTTTTTTTTATTTCTGATATCCAGTTTTGGTCGAGACATCTATCATGTTTCTGATTCAGGAGGATCAGCTGCATAGCACGCTTAGAGTGTTCATATCTCGATAATAATGAAGTAGACATCGGTTTTAAAGCGTTGGGACTAACCAGTCATCAAAGATGACAGGAAATAGTGACCGGTAATGCTTGATCCAATGATAAATGGTGGTCAGGTCAAGAGTAGATGACGAAATTCTGGAAAATCGGGAGAAACTGTGCTTGAGGTGAGGGGACGATGGCTCAATAACGAAGATGATAGGTTCATATTGTCACCCACAACAGTTTGCTGAAAATTTTCCGGTCATGTTGTTAGAAAGTGTTTGGCGCCTTAAGGGTAAAGGATGAAAGGATAAAATTTTTGGCGTCAATCTATCCCGTCTGAGGGATGCTCCCCCGCACTCGAAAAAATCTCAGCGATATTTGTTCAGGTCAAAACCCTTCGCACTGAACAGGAAGGCAACCGTGCGCGCATACGTGAATTGGAGCAAAGGAATGATGATTTGGAGCGGCACGAGAGGAATAATCAGCAAGAAGTTGCCGATCTGGAGCGGAAGGTTAGAAAATTTCCATGTGACGCTTGAAAAGCTTGCTACTCCTTTTTCATTAAACATACTTTAATGCCGCATTAAGGTGAATGAAATGACCGAAAGGCTCACTCTTCTGGAAAATGAGTTAGCTGAAAAGCAAACAACTGCGGAAGAAATGTATCGGTTACGGTGAGTGTAAAACACTTATCCTTTGTCTTGAGTTATAGTTTGAACAAGATGTAATTCGATTGAAGCATAAGTTGAACAGTCAGTGGGGGTAATTTCGATACATATTTTCTTTCTGTTCTTGTCAGGGAGGAAATGCGTGCGGCCGAACGCCCCCTTCTCATGGTTGGACCCCTGAGAGCAGAACGCATAGATGACACCCCGGAAGAACCGACTCCTATAGAGCCACAAAAACCTGTTTTGGAAGATTTGACTCCGTCTGTTGTATCTTCTGCCGTGATTACCGAGAAAAGTAATGGAGTTTCTGTTGTTAAAATCTCGCCGAAGGATGCTAACGGGAACGCAGCCTCTGAGGTATGTCTTTGTTTACAAAAATAATTTTAGAAATATTCTGTTGACGCATCTTTCTTGCTTCAGTGTGGCTTCATTATTTCCCCGGCTCTTTGAAGATCGATCATGTCTCTTCATTGGCAATACCAAGATTTACCTTCACTGTGAACTCTCAATGCTTAGGGAGATTGGGAAATTTTGCAGAAGACCTGTGGGATCTTGGTACTGTTCTGGCTGGTACAGTATTGTAAAGAAGGGGTCCCAATATGAGTTCCGACAAAAGCAAAAGGATTGTTGTAGCGCAGAGCGATTGAGCGGAATATGTTTTTGATGTTATCGTTTTCTGTTTACAATGATAATTATATGCACGCCTTATTCCACAGGCTGGTAGTATTAATAGCGTTGCCTTTGTAAAGCGAATGATTTCACATTCTACTGGATGTGCTTGCGCAATTAAGCCGACGATTTATTGCCGCATATTGAATTTACTGCGCAATGTCAATGTTGTGCCTAGCAGCATGTGACATAGGAAATGTCCTTAAGCTTCGAGTTGAATTGAGTCGCTATTCACGAGATGCTCTGCAGCGAAGTGGAAATCGAAAACGTTATTTCTTTGGGATGAAAATGAGCATATGAATGGCTGATTTGATGAATGGGATGAAGAGTTGCAACAGCGGCGTAATTAATCATTCGCTTCGAAGTTTTTCATGCTTTCAGATCTCGTTGACACCTTTAACGGTCTCTGGATCAGATGGTAAAGGCTTCGCAAGCTGTGTGAACAGGATTGTCAAAGATCTGTTGGTGAAAGTGGATCGGCTGGAAGGTATCCTTAACGGCCTACGGGTGCATTCTGTGAGGCGTTAGAACAAGTTCTCGTTCCTGATTCCATAATAGTGCCTGTGATTGTATAGCAACATCTGCTACCGAGGGGATATCGCTGGGAAGAGACGCCTACAGCGTCGTTCGTTAATAAGGAACTTTCGGTTGATATAATTTGATTCGGAAGTGTTATATCCGCTCGTCGATAGCAGCAATCACTCCAGTGCAGTGCTCTTGCTATGGTGCTATGTGGTACTGTGGTACTGAAAAGTCCATAATGTTAGCTTTCAATACAAAATTCTGTACACTTTGCCCAACGTGGATTTCTCAGGGAACAAACCTTTACAATGTTTCCAGGCGGTGCGAGCTTTTAACCTAAAACGTAGTTTCTCTGTTGCTATTTGTAAGCTTGCTCTTGTATTATAGCCATGCATAACCTGTAAATGTACAGAAATAGCAAATGACCTTGCTCAGTATATAGATCCATGCGAGGCTATTTGATAACTCATTGCCTCGTACTCCTCTGTTGCTTTCGTTGTACCTCATCAGTGAATTTTATATCGTATACAGAAAAAGAATATTGCTCATTACTTAAGAAACCAGTTATAATCGCCATTTGACATAGATTTTCCTATAGAGTGCCATTATTGTAGAGCTTCCCTTTCTGACTTCTCGGCATTTCTCATATCACAAATATCGCTCTATTATCAGCCATCGGCTTTTTCATGAATTGAATTGATGGTAGAAATGTATGTTTAACAAAGTTTTTTCTTTTTTGATGCTCATTATGATCTAGTTTGAAACTTGACATATATTAATGTTTGTTGGGAGAAATATAAAGGTTCACATAGTGTGTGATGTGTTCATTACCTGCTGGTGACTGCCTTTCTGTATCATTGATGGAGATCGAAAATTCAGATTCTGTTAAAGTGGCATAAAAATTGCCTGAAGGAGCGGTTTTTGAATTTCTTGAGCAGATTCCAACTTTACAGTGTGCATTTGAATTAGTCGACTTAAAGCAGAAAGGTCCTTCTGAAATGGCAGCTGACTGGTTGAACATGCTTTTTCATCACATAACATCAGTTTGGGAAGATGTGGGACACATGGTGTATACTGGAAGGGAACATTAGCGTTGGATGTTTCAAATTTGGCACATCGTCAATCAGAACAAATGACTTTTAAATGTATTTGCAACATCCATTACTGTTCCTAATTCGTTGTGGAAGTTTTTATGCCGGTCACACCATGAAAACAGGTTTTAGTAGAGTAGTTACGGAATTTGGGTGTTGCATAGAGAGGGTCACGGGGGGGGGGGGGGGGGGGTAACGAAAAGTCTATCGAATCCACACGCTTGAATTTCGAAAAAATCGAGTTGAAACAATGTGACTTGAAAACTTTTTTTAATTGACGTTCACTTTCAGCAAAGTTCATATTTTTCATTTTCCAAGACCTTAAGAGAAGGTTACTTCCATTTCGTCGCTAATGCGCAAATAATGACAAATTTGTAATGATTCACCCCTTTGCAGATACGCCGTGTACTCGTCTTACAATTCGTAATTGTATATTCATACTGTTAATAAGCTACTTTTACCCTTAGATTGTGTTCCACTGTAGGGGAAACTGCAGCTCTGGCCCTGGTTCAGCAGCAAATGAGGGCTGGACTTTTTTGAATACCAAAAACTTTCGTCTCAAACTCGGATGCAAGGCTTGTTTTACTCTTGCATTACTTTAAACTGGGCTAAAAGTTCGTCTTACCAGTTAGTCCAACAGTAGCCATAGAACTTGTCATGGCGGGAGGGCATACATTCGATTAGAGTGGACCGGGTTGCGGCTGTTTTTCTCAAGTAACTCTTACATATTGAAGTTCCCAACAATTCTCGGTTGAAGTCGAGTGACTGTTGCAACTTAAAAGATTCACTGGCACCTCTGCAAGAGGTGAAAATCCTTTCATCGTGAACTTTACAATGACCTTGTGATGTATCGAACAGATAGCAAGAGACTGTACGCTCAAATTAGACCGTTCCCTTCGAGAACTGGGGACGCTTGTGTAGGGATCATTAAGCCAAGCGTGAACTTCATATGAAAATCGGAAGGATGGATGGATAAAGTTTTTAACGTTGATTGATCTCGCTGTGGGTGCGCCCGCGCGTAGGCTAATCAAGCCTTTCTTCCGGGGTCGACTAATCGGTCCTCGACTAACGAGGGGATAAAAGCACTGCCTTGTACATCTGGGTAGCTCTTGCAAGTGGTACAGGCCAATTGTTCGCCGCATTACCATTAAGATTTGAGTAGAAATGGAGTGCGTGGGGTGCATCATAGAGCGGGAGTTAAATTCAAGAAAGTCCGTCCCTCGGATTTCCAAGATAGGGTACCACAAGGCGGCATCACCACAAGACATCCGAGGGCAGAATCTTCCCATATTGAGCAGAATTTTTCCTGAGCTGTGTAATTGGTACAGGTCGCCTGAGAAGAATGTCTACGAGACCAGTCAGGGCCTGAGCTCATTTTATAGTTATTTCAGGACACCCTCACTTATTTCTGAGCAATCCATGCGTTCATGCTCCTGCTGGTGTTTCTGACGATCGCTGCAGTCCGTTGTGACTGGGAAAGCGACCTCAATCTGCCTCCAAAGTTGCTGGAGTACACAGTCAGGAATAGCGAAGACCTGAAAGAAAAGTGTCGTCTGGAAGGGTGTTCACTTACTGTAAGTTGGTCTAAATATTCACATATTAATAGCTTTTTCCATAAAGTAATGTTCTGGGTTCATGAAATCACAAGCGCAGACGCGGGCGGTTGCGAAGCGGTGGTTAACTCATTTCGATAGCTGTTTTTCGGCAGCGTGTGTGGAGTGGAACTTCAGTAGAGGGCTTTCGAAACTAATTATAGCAGGGGCTCTCGTGGGGGTCCTTCTACCACCGCGACATGGCCGCTCGTAGTGACTTTTGAGATCTTCGTCTAACGACATGATGAAAATAGAGCGAAACCTGATATCGGATGACGCTGCTCTCATAAGTATTCGATTCCAGGAAGCGGCACTTTCAAATGGTCGATGCTGGGGATATGAAGCAAATTGTTCCTATGAGAAGAGCTATTCAGCTGAATTGGGCGTTCCGAAATGCAACTCTCCTAGTAAAAGGTACCGAGCATGCTCTTTTTTAGGTTCGAGCTACCAATTTCCTTTTATTTCGTGGACTCTTTCTTCCCGTGGCAGTTCATAATGAGAATGTTTTCGTGAGAGTTTTTGGTTGTTTACAAAAAATTCGGTCGCGGATGGGAGTCGAACTTGCTTGTAGGCATGATGCCCGGAAAGCATGGGTATGAGTTCGAGTTCTGTTCAGCACCAATGTTTCAGCCTCCTAATTAATCATTTTTGTGATAAAAACCAGATTCTTCTTTTTCAACGCTACCGTGTGTTCGTGTGTTCTATGCGAAACGCTTCACGTGAATTGCAATATCCGTACGGGAGAGAGTATGGGATGGGGAAGGGGAAGGTTGGGTGAAGAGCACTGAAGCAGTTGTGTGAATAAGAGTAAGCTCATCATTATATGGCAGTAGTGAGGGAATACGCAAAAGGGCGTTAGGTGGTGGTGACCTGACGACTAGCTAAGAATTGTCGCTTTCGACAGTTTTTAGCTAGTTGTTCTACCGCGCGGCAGGTCAATCAGAACTGCAATCTGTCAACCAGGGATCATGTATGGAGGGGTCTTCCAGAAGCGAAACTTGAGGGAGTGGAACGTGTCTCATCGAGAAGATGACAGATAGATAGCAACGCTAGGCGCTTGATCTGACCATGAGTTTTTTCTATGTCTCCATTCCACGATCCTTATCTCGCGTGAGTGGGTCAGACAGCATTTGCTGAACGCAGGGCAAAGGGAAGTTGATCAACCATAGTTTTGCCTACAGAACGCTTTCAGGGGTGGTCACACATGGGAAATAGAGTATATTGACGCTTTCTTAAGCCAGAAGTTCACATTAGGTCCACGATTTCAGAGATCGCTTTTACAAGCAAGCCGATTTTGGATACGTTGCTGAGAGGAGTTGGATGCATGACATCTGCTTTTCACAAGATCAGGTTCATTCTTATCTTTTAGTAGCTGTAATTCTCTCCTGAACTCATGATCGGTACGAAGGATGAAGGATAAAGTCTTTGGGCTGTGATCAATCCCGTCTGAGGGCCGTTCAGCATCGTAGTGACGTATTGAATTCGTATTTCGCTTATACAATGGCTTGCTGTGGCCAGCCGATGTATGGGTCAGTGTTTTTATCCTCCCAGGCGGATCTGGTACCAATTCGCCGACCTCGGAAAGTGGAAAGTGTGGTTGACTTGAGTGATACTTACTCGGGATTTGAACCCATGACCATGCGTGAGCGATAGTGCGCTTGGTACCAATGGCCATTATCGGTACAGTGAGCAAAAATTATGTTTACTGGTTTGCGATTTTCACTCACTATTTGGATTACTCTTCATAAAACTGGAAAAGCTCAAGACTTTATTCATTCCGTTGTAACCGTTGTCTGCAGCACTTCCCTGAGCCTATCGTCAGATGTAAGTTAGTCTGTAACTGGTTTCGCAATTAGGGGGATCGAATCCCTTCCACCATCTAGATCTGGGGCTTTCTGCGTTAGCGATTTGTTAGGGGTTTCTAGTAGAGGAATAAAAACACTTACATAGCTAGTTACCCTTTCCAAGCTGTTGTATAAGTGTTGTAACGGGTGTGAAATCTGACTGGAGTTTGTGCGCACGGCGCATCCTATGTAGAGATTGGGTGAGGCCTCTCTGTTTTGATTTTTTTNNTTTTTTTCTTGCTCTTCGCCTGACTCTACTGGCAAGGCTGAAAACGATGATAGGAAATATGGAGACCCCGACACCTTTTGAGGTTTTTTTTTGTCAACATGTTTTTCAGAAAGGAAGCACTCTAAGATGCTCGGACGACCTTCGTTATTGTCAAGCGACCAATATCTTTTTCCATTTCAAAAGCTGGACGGCAAAGAACTCGAAGCGGTAACGGCTTAACCCGTTCTTATGAGAAGATTTATTCAATTAAAAGGATGTTTCAGATATCGCGAAGATGTGGTCCAACCGGGGGAGGTTGGCGGCAACTGTGCTGAGTTCAGGGCAGAAGTTCTAAGGAAAAATCAAAACGAACGAGGCTTCTTACGTAGTTGGTATGGTATGCTATCGTCTGGTATTAATAAGGTGCAATTTCTATAAAAGGCGAGAATATCGCTGTGTATCTCCCAGTATTTCCTTGAGTCATCGTTCATAAAAACCTATACCCTTTAATTTCCAGCTATTCATTGAGCTGCTATGGAACCTCAAGAAAAACCATGTAGGAAAGCGGAGAATGGTACGATAATTGCAATGGGAAAGATTCCAAATTGGGAATATCAGCATTCAACCTAGCAGCTTTTTCAGTTTTCGTACTTGGGAGAGAGTGGCAGGGAAGAACTCGTTGGAGCGTTATGGTTACTGTAGAAAGTGATAAATCTGATGAATTCCGAGTGCTATCACACTTGGGGTTACTATGTGGTTTCCCTTTACTTCTATCCTGCCGTTATTCCTTTTCTCCATGCTTCACTCTACCGTCTTGCTGGTGCATGGGTATCTCGGAACCTTTTGGCAGGGTCTCTTCCGTCCCGGATCAAATTCGAATGGGTGAAGTAGCGAGCAGAGATATAGGGATGCAATGAGGTTTCTTAGAGGGCGTAGGGGGAGGGGAAAGATGGAAAGTTTGCCATTACCATTATCCTTTCATAGCTCAAGCCTTTGATGCGGTAGCTCTTCAGGGCGAACGAGTTTTTTCATTTCGAGTCGGTGCCATCGTTTTCTGTAGACAACGAACATTGCGATATAATTTTCGATCGACCGACTGTAGTGATGAAGTTGGATGCTTCTGTGAACATGTACCATCATTTCTGCGATTTTGTCAACCTGTACGCTTCCCAGCACATCAATGGATCGTTCAGTCAACAGGCAAGTTACCATGGTGAAACCGGCTTCAGATGCACAACAGGGAAAGTTCTGCTTCTAGGTCGATGTCGTTTGGTGGGACACACATAGTGGAGGATTCGTAGATTCGTGGTTTGGTGATACCTGGAAGGCCTTCTCTGATTCGAAACCAGTTGAGTTGACGGCTTTGGCTGGACGTCGTGTATGCTTCAGAAATGCCATGTTCCCATTGTTGGCTAGACAGGCTTTTGGTCTCTACTATAACACCCCATTGGTCAGTTGGTCAGTTATAAACCTCCTTTATCAGTTTCCATGCTCTGATGATAGTCGTTTAGGAGAAAGATTGTCACGGTACAGGACTGATGCATGCATTTGCTCACCATGTTCTACATCGACTGGGTATTCAACAGAAAGGACCTCTGCTTGACAAAATACGGGTGACGATCCTCTCCAGGAGTACAAAGTTCAGGAGAATTCTCAATTTGGACGAGGTAAAATACTTAAATCTTGTAATAGGGACTGGGATACGTCATTGGACAGGCTGAACGTGCCCCTCCACCGACGGACTTCGAAAAGAGGAAAAATCACCCACCTTGGTAGAAGTCCCTGGGAAGGAACGCTTAATTTATTCCTATCAACCCTGCGGTTGTCTACTCTCCCGTATTGAACAGAACAGTGGGACGCTGAATCCCTCTTTCTACTAGCACCCATTTGAGATTGAAAGAGTCGCGGTAATGTAGTGGCAAGTGGCGCACCATCAGACACGCATGCTTCGTGGATCGAGTCTCGGATCGATTCAAGTCCTGGTTAACCAACCCTCCATTTCAAGCAATCCCTACAACGAGTTTGATCCCGGACAGACTTTTTTCTTCAGTCTCTTCATTGGGGTGGTTTCCGAGGGTCTTTTCAGTTCATTTTTCAGAAAACAGCATCCAATATTGCCAAAAGGGATGTTTATCTGCCAGAAATTGAATTCAACTCCATAAACATTGCTAAGTAAACATATGCAAACGTTTTTTCGTGCTCACATTTGCTTTCCGCTGTGACTTCAATTAATAATCTCTTTGAAAATAAACAAAAATCGGCAATTGTTTGGAAGATTCCAGATTTTAATCGAATTTTTCATGTCGTATTAATTCACGTCCTACAGAGGGGCTGAGGGATGTGTAACATCAATTTGGAACAATGGACTGGTTACGAACAGTTATTGCCAAAAGGGATGTTTATCTGCCAGAAATTGAATTCAACTCCATAAACATTGCTAAGTAAACATATGCAAACGTTTTTTCGTGCTCACATTTGCTTTCCGCTGTGACTTCAATTAATAATCTCTTTGAAAATAAACAAAAATCGGCAATTGTTTGGAAGATTCCAGATTTTAATCGAATTTTTCATGTCGTATTACAGAGGGGCTGAGGGATGTGTAACATCAATTTGGAACAATGGACTGGTTACGAACAGTGGCGCAGGTGAACACTCTCGTCCAAAGCTTGTTCATTGTTTGATTTTCTAGTGTGACGCTCCGGAACAAATAGGATTTTGGCAACTATACGATCATGGGGAGGGGGTCTTCACAGATTAAAAGGATATCCGATCCCGCAACAATGTTAACTTTTGGTTTAAATCTGAATTTGTGATTAACAATCAGATCATACCAGGTGAATTCATGGATTTTTCGCTTGGAAGAACAAAAAAAAACTGATATTTATTAGTGCTTTTAGTTTGTCAAAGTGGAAATGATTAGTCGGTCTAGTCATCGTCGCCACTCCACAGCATTGCAGACTTTTTGAGGCCCATTGCAGCTTTTTTCATCTGAGAAGATGAAGAGTACAGTTTATCAGGTGCTACCGATATGTTAGGCCCCCGGGCTTATTACCCAAGAATGAGCATTAGGAGCTTTTCGAGAGTAGCATTGACAAAGTAGCTTTTTCAATTAAATAATTATCAATTTAAAGAGAAAACATTAGTTTTCTCGCCAATAACTGCTTCGCGAAGGCATTGAAAAAGTTCCTTTGTTAGCTGTCCATTCATCTAGGGCACCCGCCGAGTTTTGGGAGTAATTGGACTAGGGGAGAAGGCTGCTACTAGTCAGTCAATCAAGGGTCTTATGTTTGCTCTTCGGTTCGGGGTAAGCAAGATGCTTTCGAGACCCAGTATTCGATTATATCTGGAAAAGTTGATCTCTAGTGTGGACGAGTTGGCGCTTTGAGATTTTTGGGTGGAAAAAAAGGTTTATTTGTCGGTTATTTAGTAACATTACCCCCTCTCTCCTCCTTTTTCTCTCAGCCAAACGTAACTGATCCACTTTAACAGAGACAAATCCAGCCTAAGGAGTTATTGTGCTGGCCTAAATAACGGCCAAGATATGGCCTAAATAACAGCCAAAATATGAAATAAATAACTGTCAGCCAATAGCCAGAAAGGATCTCTCGATACCACGGGTGATCGGTAATATTCGTAGGTGTGCGGTTGCTACCCACCCAATTCGTGCCGCTGCAAAGTAAACTCTTTGACGTAACTGATCAAAAAGCTTGCTCCTACATCGGTTCATTCGGAAAAAGTGAAGCAAGATTAATTGCTGTACCCTCTCGAGTACTACGCCGGTAGCGGCCCACAGACATTCCCGCTGCACTACGTGGGTGGCCGCTAGTTTTGAAATAATTTCGTGAATCTTTTTTTCCAGCTTTCGGAAATGAATATACATAAGTTTATTGAGCAATATTCACGCATAGTGAAATCGCGCGGTCCATTTTTTTAGAAGTGACCGAGTGCCCATGGAATGTGGCGTTGAGAGAGAGGCATTTTCTGACGGCGATTGCCTACCGACGCGCTTCGGTAGTACTAGACGTTGTCGTCTCAGAGTTGACGTCGTGTCAGTGAATTCAGACTTGCTGCGTTCTCGTGCCGCTCGTCTGCACACCTATTGAGGCGTTCTCGGTCTCGTCGTCGCTCATATCTCGTACTTGACGCAGTTCGATTGGCACCAAGATCTTCTGAAAATGGCAATTGATATAATTTGTCTAGTTGTCCAGTTATGCTGTGTTCAGGAGACCTACTCTTCCCGATGATGTAGGATTCCTCTCGAGTTAAAGGGCAAGCTATCGTAATGTCTAGGCTCATGCTTATTGTTAGTGTCACACTCTGTGGAAATAAATGTGGAATATCTCTGGGGGATTCACTGGCTCTGTAACCCTTGTTATTGTTGTACCTGGGACATGGGGAAATAAGGGATAGGCACTGGAGCTAATTTTCAGAGTTCAACCGTACCTGATGCCCTAACTGCGGTTCGCTCAAGAAGTATCCACGAGTGACCTTCTCTTCACCAAGTGACCGCATATTGTCGTACAGCACGAATACGGTAATTGCCGCTGCTATCGCTGAAAAGGGATGTTTCAATGATTTCAATCTCTTTTATAATATATAATAGTAATTTGAAAAGTCAGGCACTATTTCATTGGATTTTCTCGCTTCTTTCCCCCCATTGTCAATTCTGGTAACAATCTTTGAAGCAATGGATAGGTATAATGGTGGGCGGTTTTTTAGGAGGTTCAGTGTTTCGGTAGGTGCGGTTCCAGATTACTGCTGTGTTTGGTAGTTTCCTCATCGACGTTGAACTCCAGAACGTGTCTTTATTCAAAGTTTCATGAAGTAATATCTACCAATTAAGGGTTTCTGACGTCGGATGACTTGGTTCGATCACTAGCTAAAATAGTATTGTCCATAAACTGATTCTATTCCATGACCGGGCTTGCTGCCGTAAATGTCCTACGTAACTCGAAACTGACAGGATTGGACACTTATTGCTTTTTGGTTGCACCAACACAATTCGTGGTCGTTGATAAAGATCCATGGATTGACTAGTACGGTAACCGTTTCGGAAATCGGAATATTTAAGGAACCTAGGATACCAACCAAAATCAGGGGCAGGAATTGACGGCTATCCTGCTACCTTCGCTCAACGATGTCATTCTTTTCTACCGCTTTTTTATCTAATTGACCCAAGAGAGGGACGGCTTAGAACTCTCTAAAGTTTGTCATTGTTTACGTAACTTAACTTTTCTCCCGTTGCCAATCTGTCATGCCACGATACCACGATAGCGTCATCAATGACTTTTTTATGAGGGCCGATCCGTTATGATAAGACAGGGTGTGCCCCAGTTTACAGAGAGATACATCAAAACATACAGTGGGGGTCGACGTGGTAGTCTCTGCTAAAGTAAATATTGGCAAATGGGGTGATGAGTAAAATTCACTAGTATATTCCCTATCGGGTGTTTATCTCATTCTCTGCTACAATTCAGGTTCTAGCGGGTAACAGTATTTACAATTATTTTCGACCATTGGAAGAAACGGAGCGCTCATGAACTGAGTTACCCTCGTTTCGGTATCAGGGTATAAGANGCTAAAGTAAATATTGGCAAATGGGGTGATGAGTAAAATTCACTAGAATATTCCCTATCGGGTGTTTATCTCATTCTCTGCTACAATTCAGGTTTTGGCGGGTAGGAGTTTTACAATTATTTTCGACCATTGGAAGAAACGGAGCGCTCATGAACTGAGTTACCCTCGTTTCGGTATCAGGGTATAAGAATAATGAAGGAACTGGGAAGGGTATGGAAGCACAGGGAAGGGAAGAAGAGGTACAGGAGCCAAATTTTAAGGGCGCTGTCCGGGACAATGGCCATGGCCATTTCCACAGTGAGGGCTATTTTCAATTTTGATCCGCGTTCAGATGAAAGCTTAATGTGAAAAACACGGTAAACCATCAACGAGCTAAAGGGGCTATATAAGCACTATTTGAGTGGCTTTCGACAATGTAATTAATTCGAGCTTTTAGTAGTATGGTATTACGAGAAATTGAATGTGTTTTGAGAGAAATCCAAATAAAAGGCCATTGATTATTGTTTCAACGATAACTAAATAAGTGAAATGATTTAAGGCAAGCGGAATTATTAGAACTTCCTGATGTACCTTCTAACACACTAAGTAACTTTGACCTGGTGCTGCTCTCAAGTTAGACAGCCAAAAGCTTACCATGAATAGGTGAGAATATCATCTGTAGCGAGTACATGGCTATTCTGGTGCTCGTCACAATCCGATTTTCATTAGCTCCTATTCGCTCGAGATACTTGTCTTCATTATTGACGAGATATGCTGTCCAGAAGAACAACGACACACTCTGTACAAATGATAAGGAGGCGGCCACGCAGCTGGCAACCTGAAATTTTGAAATTCAATGTGTGGTCCATCTACTCTTTTGCTTGGTTCGTTCTTTCGGGGTTTTGCCGGAGAAAAAATGAGAGGAAAAAAGTTGGCTTCTGGGGACCATCAAAACTTGAAGCTTTGTCTCTGGCGACATGATAGAAGATGGATTGGAACATGTCTCAATGCCCAAGAGTAGTGTTTCAGTAGGTTGCGTCATGACTTCTCAATTGTTTTTTCTGACACATCCGGTCTACGTGGAATTTTTGAATATGGGAATCTTTTCTGAGCGACTCAGGGGCTACAGATGATTTTCCCAAGATAGAGTGCTCGATAAATAAGGTGTGCCCGTATAGGACATATTTGCACAATGGGAACGTTGCACATCCGGTTAGGCAGACGAGGTGTGGCGAGGTGTCGGACCGAAAAATACACCCAAATGGATAAGGCGAGGGATCGAAGCATTCAATTTGCAAAGTTTTGATCTTTCAGGAATTGCTTTTAGAAAGGCCACGACCCGGTCGAAGCCACAGCAATGGATATTAAGTTGAAATGGATAAACTGCTATTGTTGTTTGGGGAGCCAGTTTCTTTCCGTACCACTACCACTCCAAATTTCGATTTGCCTTGAAATCAAAATTTGAAGTGTTGGTGGATGCCCAAAATTTCTAGGCAGATAAGGTCACCCGAGTTCAGAAAAACTCGTACAAGTGGATAAGTTTCGATTCGGATCAAATCAAAATTTAGAGTGGTAGTGGATGCGAAAAAAAATTGGCGTTAAACAACAACATCACCAGTTCACGTATTCAGCGTGACGTCCTCTGCGTTTCACTTAGCGTTTGAAAAATAATGGCCGTCCTCATCAGGAAAGATTGCTGGTTAAAGGCTTGAGCAGCTGAAAAGTGGATCCCCATCGAATTCGTGAGACCACGGTCCGTCTATTTTCATTTACTCCGTAGTCATCGATTTCAGTTGGCAGGAGGAGGGGGTAGGGAAGGGGAGGAGGAAGGGAATTGTGCAACTCGGTAGCGAGCTTTAATTAAGAGGCATTGGAGGCCAACTATGAAGTATTTATTTATTCGATATTATTTAATCTATGAGTACCTATCATTTCCTCAGATCTACCTCCGGATCGGTGTTGAGTGAATTGTCGCAACTAGTATGATCCTTGTTATTTACAATGTTCCTGTTTATTTACTTAATTATTTGTTTATTTGTAAATTTATGCGGGTAATCCGATGCCCTCAGCCACATAACATGGTGAACACACAGGAAGCAAAAATAGCGTTGTTATCTGNTATGGCTACCACTTTGAATCGAGGACATCAGAGCAGTCCTCTGACGGAAAGCAAAGTCTCCGTCCGGCCGAGGCACAACCGGCTCGGGGCAATTATCTACACCTATCGGGAACGGTGCGCTTCATCATTTGTAAAAACCCTATTCAAATTGGGATGGACCTGTACAGCAATTTGGGTAAATCTTATAATCACTATACAATGGTTTGCAGAGGGGTTCGAAATTGAAAATAAGCCTTAAGGATAAAGTCTTGGGGCGTCAATCAGTCTCGTCTGAGGGATGCGCTCTCGCATTCAACTTTCATTCAGAATCGTACGGCGCATTGAATGGGTATGTGACTCATACAATGACTTGCGGTGGCCAGCCAATGTACCAGTCAGTGCTTTTATCCTCCTAGACAACTCTGGTACCAATTGCCCCGACCCCGGAGGGATGAACGGCTGGGTTGGCCTTGACGGATATCGAACCCGTGACAGTGCGTGTAAGATAGTGGCCCTTCCTTTCAAAAAATTAAAGTGGTAATAGTGGTTGTATGAATATATCAAATCCAGACCTAGGTTGACAGGGTGGCTGATAGAGAAACTCAGTCATAACAGGTATGTTAGAAGGTTCAAATGTTTAGAAAGGGACTTGCCGAAAGTGAAGTAAACGGAGAAGATGGGATAGATGAAAGGGCTCTTAGACGGAGCGGGTTTATAGCTAGCTGGACGAAAAATTGTGAAAAAGGACCTATGATTGAAACCTCACTCACCAGCCATCCTCTAGTCGGTCGACACTTGCAGAAAATAAATATAACTGTAGCATTAACTAATAAGAGAATTCCAATGATAACTCCAATGTAATATGGGCATCCATCATAAAATACACATATAATGGCGAATATAAGCTGAAATATTAATCGATCTGAAGGAATAGGAGGTTGTTGTTCAGGAACTCAATGGGGTTTAATAATGGGATCGCTGTAGAGCGTACAATTCGGAATTACAATCAAGGGAGCGAGTGGGATGGTTGTTTTTACTGATTAAAAATATTTACTCACCACTTGAATGGCGCTTGCAAATGCAACCAGCGTCAGTGCTAGCAATGTCCGAGGATCTGCTGTCAGTACATGGTTAGTGAGGAGTTGTTCCACCTGGAATGCGCCACGAATGAGTAATGTCAGCATAGGATTATCCACCACTCATCTGTCATCTGTTGGGAGGGATCACTGAGTATAAACAATGTATTGGCTCTTTCTCTCAAGTGAAAGGGGCTCTCTACAGTAATCCACCACCCATGCCGGGGTTTCAAATCAAAATATAGCTAACTTTTGTAAGGGGCCGCCTAGTTCGGCCTATCGCCTCGGGACCATAGCCAAAGCGGTGAAAGAGGAGTTAGCCGACCGGGGAAGTGGCAGGATTTGGTAACGCGAGTAACCATACCATGGTCAGAAAGGGTTTAAGTCAGGTCGACCGTTATCAGTTAGTATCATAACTATAAGAGTGATTTGATTGAACGCTCTTTCTGAGGGTGGCCAAGATCTTGGAGGGAGAAATTCTAGGGAATGACAGCTAAATGGGGCGTACATGGGGGCCTTTCTCCGGGTTCCTTCATCCTAATGGGCCTATCGGCACTTAAAATTGAATTCCTTGTCGTCTTCATACGAAACCGATTTGTAAAAATTGGTCCAATAAAAAATTTGAGAAAGATTGAATGGATGAAAGGATTACATGATAAGATTGAGTCAGGTTTGTAAATTTGGATGCGGTACTTTCGGCCATGGTGACCGGCTGAACGTTCATGGTGGTGCGAACTGAAATTAATTTGTTCAGATCAACTTAGAAGTCTTTCAATATGGAATCAATTATTTTTTATGCTTGCATTTAATGAAAATCGAAATTGGCCTTTTCAGTTTGTGAAAATTTCACCGAAGAGGGGTTTAAACTAACAGCTTAGTGGAAAAGTAAGTGAGGCATTCTGTAGTCTGATTGATTTTTATTTTTCTTTGAATCTCCCACCCTTCACGGTATTTCCCCACGGGGCGCAAAAGGTATGGCGATACAGTAGTTTTCGGGCAGTTATCGTAAAAGTCATTAGAAAGCAAACTATCACCAAGTCGAGCTAACTTTGTTCCAAAGCGGTGGGATTTGGGAGTCTTTGGAGGTTTACAAAGATTACTGTAATAAACAACTTACCTGTAGACTTTGTAACGATACTATCGTTATCCGAGCCCTCTGCTCCTGATTCAGTCATTCTTCGTTCTCTATCGCTCACCGGATCTAAGCCAAATGTGTCGCGATAGTATACCACAGGTGGAAAAGAAGGAGTATACTGTAATGGAAGTTGATCTGCCGAGCCCATTTTTGCGGTGATTCGACAATTTCAAAAAAAAAAGGAAAATCCATGACAAAATCAAAATTGTAGGAGGACAAGGAAGAAATATTTGTTACGAAGTGACGACGTTGTTTTTTATTTTTTATTTTACAAAACAATTTTTTGCATCATTATTTATGTCAATTTCCGGGTACTGATGGGCTATTAAAGCGGCTGCTCTGCAAGTCTTATCATCTTCTGAAACCCGCCTACCTAAAAAAATCTACATTGATTGATGACTACAAGTTAGTGAGGTTGGAAAGGGTGTTTATCTTGAAGCAAGGGATACGATCAGTATTCGATCGCTAAAATTGTTCAATCGAGTCATAGAAGATAATAATAATCAAAAACATATGGGTGTTTATCTTGAAGCTAAGGATACGATCAGTATTCGATCAATAAAATAATTCATTCGAGACATTAATCACATCGAGACAAGATAATTATAATCTAAAACATATGGCAGAGAGGAAAAAACTGAATTTGAATGGGAGGCTCATCCGAAAAAAAAGATTGGTTGACGTCGAAGACTTTACTCTTCGTCTTCGGCAGAATCCTCGAGGTCAGGGACGACAAATAAACTCTTTGGCGTCGACCAGTTCTTTTTTGTCCCACTCGCCTTCTGGTGAGGAAGAAACCATTTCGCAGAACTTCAAAAATTTCCCGACTTTCCTCGTTCTGCGACAGTATTTTCGTGAGGCCGATAGTGGTATGAGGGAAGAGCCGCACGCCCTCACGGGCACGACCGGAAATTGAACCCGGGATTGATACTCGCCGAGACCAACGGAGCCTTTCTTCCCTCCTGGATCGGCTAATTGGTACCAGATTCGTCTGAGAGGATGAAAGCATTGACTCGTGCATCGGTTGACCACCGTAGGCCTTTGTACACGTCGCATACACATTCATTCACTATTACGGTTTTGAATGGAAGTCGAAAGTAGTGTGCATCCCAGAAGTGAAACTGAATAATGCCGGAAAATTCTAATACTTTCCACTAACATTCACATCCTTCGACCTCGCCCTGCTTCTGTTTTATTCTGTTCATTCTTTTTTCTCGGAATCAATACTCAGAATTCATGCTCATCTTTTGGCTCTGAATGCCTCATTATTCAAGCCATTAGGGTGTAGATTAACAGTTTCGCAGAAACGAAGCATTCACCATGGCTTTAATTGGACAACACAGAGTTGATTGCGTTTTTTTAAATTTTCATACAGAGAATGGCACGAATTAATGAATTTAGAAGGATGGGTGGTACGGTATTGAAGGCCAGTTCACGAAAAGACGGTTTTTGTGATATCCTCCTAGGTTGAATCTATGGCTCCCACGTATACCATGTGTGGCGCTTCAAGATCGGAAAGCGGCCTGGATATGGCGTTATAAAGGCTCAAGGAATGTACTGGCGGATACCACGCCTCAAGGCGGACGAGTTCCAACGTATTGGCTAGGTTGCACTATTCACAAAAGCCCCCATATTGGAAATTCTTCCGAGAAGTGACAGTGGAATTTTTGAAGTTTTCGGCGTATTGGCCAAAAGACTTTTTACGCAGTTGCAACGATTGAAATCTCGTCCAAATACCCTTCCCATGCCATTTCCATCATGGTTAACTCCATGACACTACAGTATGAGCAGTGAGTTGTAGGGAAGGGCGAGAATACATCCCGTATTGGTCAGCCATTACTGCTTATGTCCGCTGGTGTGCGCTTTTGATAAACCTGGGTATAANGTTGTCAGAGTGGCTGCCGAGCGATTGGAGGTGACAGACTGGCAACCACTTTGAGCGCTTGGGGAAAGCCAGGGGTTTCTCAAGCAGCATTTTGTTTTCAAACGATTTTAGTGTTTATATAGAAACAACCTTAGATTTCCGTATGAATAGGCGTATCAAGAAAAAAAGAAAATAATAATAACAGTAAAAATAATTTTTTTTTGCGGATGCACAATAGCCCTGCCTGTCCTCTGAAGAAAAACAAAATGATTGCTTGAGAACGTCTCAAGTTCATGCTTAGGAATACTGTAGATCGTTTGGGATTGAGTGTTTGAAACATCCCATCCAATCGCATTTGTAATCATCTTGTGGAGGACACGCTGTTGTGAAGAGATGGACAAAAGAAATAGAGGAAACTATCTCCTAATTAAATGGATCATTTGATATAATCGATTCAGATCGATTGGAGTTTTTCCAAACATTTCATAAAAATCATTTGGAGCTCGAATTGCTTACGACAATGGGCGTTTTATGACAATATTCAAAAAATCATTTGAAAAATCCAACAAATCGCTACGTTCCCTAGCAGATCTTTGTATTTCGAGAAGTCAGGACCATTTTTACAATTGTGAAAAAAATTTGAAATCAAAATCATTTTTTTGTTACAATTTCAATATTTCCAACATATGTATGTACACAATAGAAGGGCATCTGAAGTAACTGATAAATCCCGTGATATTTCTGAAGCAGTATCGTACATATAGCTGATAGCCCATAGCTGACACATCAGTTCTCGAGAACATAAAACAACGCCCGAACACCTCGTATAATATTTATAGACTGAACGCGATCGGATTTTCATCTGATCAATCGATATAGCTCGTAATTCACCCCCGGAGAACGTCCCCCCGTCTTGTCAGTCAGCTTTAAAATGGCTTCGCCCCACTGAAGCTCTAGTTTTTCATTGGCGAGGTGACAGTGGGTTTGATGGCCATAACTGTCAATCAGATGGGCACATTAGTAGCCACAGGACTTTTAGTAGTGAATAGACAGGGCCTATGAGACATAGTGAACTGTTCAGCCGTCATTTGTTACTTTGGACTAACATTCGGGTTTTTTCTGAAAGGGCTCTATTAGTTCCCCTGGTAAAATGAGAACCATCTGCCTCTTTCCCGTGTAGCTGATATCCCTTGCAGAAGTCAGTGGATGTTTTGAGTAATAGGCATCGATTTGCAAAAATTCCAGCTGTTCAAAGGTTTTGGCCACAACATGAAATGTTGAGTAAAGTAAGTAAGTTGCTCTCCACAACAGGTGCATTTGTCGAAGTTTCACAGAAAGAGGAAAGAGCAGAAGAGCAATGAGTGCTGCCTGAAGCACCCAGCTTTTGACAAAGAGAGCTGCATCAGCTTATCGATTGACCAGAGCCAAATGACTGCGAAAATCAGAGAACGATCCACTTTATAATGCTTATCGGAGAAAAATCAAAGCAAATCTCAAAAATTGCAATATTTTGGACCCTCACGTTGACATGAGCGACCATAAATGCGTTAGAGATCATATCTATAAAAGAAACCTCAAGGGGTTCATTAAATGTTCATGGAAGAGTGAAGAGGTTTGGGAATATTTCAGGAGTCTTATGGGACTTCATCAAAGGGCGAGGAGGCTTCTAGATGAATATATAGAGCGATTGAAGTATTGCTGAAGGGCAAAAGCTAACTGGAGCTGCCCCTTATCCCTCAGAGCATTTACATCGCAATATAAAGCCAAAATAGGATTTCCTAGGACTCACCTTATTGTCGTTAGTCCGAAATGGAATTGGTGCTGCCATGTTGGTGAGTAGTGAGTGGAGAGGGAGGTGACACAAGTGGCTGAGGCACGCACGCACACACACACACGACGAACCGCTGAGCAGGGAGCCTCCGGGGCTGTTACACCATGCTATCGGCACCGATTCCAACAGATTTCTCACAAAATCACTTTTCATGAGATTGGCGACCCGTACTTTCTAGTAATCGCTGATGTTTATTTTACCTGTTAGTTATTTTATTTGTAACTCCTTCTTGACCAGTGGCTATGCTGTTATTATCATCATGGCGATCTCCATTAGTAGTCCTGGCAACCGGGGAGTATATCCTAGACGTTCTAAATCAGCACTTATCTGGATGCAGGTTATATGTGGCCTAATCGGCAGAGCTAAGTGTAGAGTGTTCCCCTTGGAGAAATGGTACCTACGTGATTTCTGAAGTATATTGTGAATATGATCGTGTTCTGTAGGTATGGTCCCCACCAGAAAAGTCATCCAGTTTGCTGCTTTCCCGAGTATCACTACATGGACTTGGCTTATTGGATAGGGTGTAATGAGCCGGTATTAACCGCAGCCGTTCTTTAGAAGTTATGGTGTACCTCCAGAGAACAGTCGCAGCCAGTAGCCGGTAGGTAAGAAAGCATTATAATACTTTCCCATTCTAATTGGATATGGAATGGTAGGGGTTCTGTGTGGCGTCAGTTAAGATGCAGCAGATTATTTTATTCATTTATTTATTTTTCATTCCAGTGACAATTTTCATTTATTTTTGATTATATTTCGGAAATGCTGGATTGCAATGGGATCATGTTATCGTTCGATCACATTGACATACATATGTCTACCTGCCGAGGGCAAGATTAGTGTGATGATCGGCTGGTCCATATGTTCCCCCACCATGATGTCATGTGTTGATCGGAGAAATTCTGGCCATCGTCCAAGCAGGTGTCGTTTTAAATTAGTACGAATAAAAACCCACAGCACCTTGACAATTATCACCTCATCTCAGAGACTGAACCTTTTCGGAAGTAGAGTCCCAATGGTGTAAGTAATGAAAAGCACAGTGGTTGAAAGCACAAGCAAGGTATGGGTGGTGGCGGCACTTCTCCCCGTATTCCCACAGCAAGCGGCAGTGGTTCCGTGATGGCTACCTTACCCTTCCACTGGGAACTCAAATCTTCCCCCGCGCGACTGCGTGCGAACGGATTCGGCGAAGGCGGCGCGATTTTCAGGGAAATGTTACCGCACCCGCACGGAGTCGTACTTAGTAAAGGCCAATATTTCGCCCATGAATCAGTAATCCTTGGGAGACTTCTCATAGCGAACGTCAGCGGAAAACTAACGAAAAGAAAACCAAATAGTTGGTAGAAGGATGTTGTTGCTTGCTGATTCCGTGCCTGTTCGCAATCGTCGGTATTGGAAATTCACCATCTGCCAGTTTAAAATAAACCGTTCACAAGCTTTCGCTTGCCCTAATATTTCCGCATGTCGACTCTCCTGTCTTATGGAGCTCACCACAGTAGAATAGCTGAAGAATCAGGTTTCGAAGTGGGTCCCTCCAACGGACTTACAGCTAACATACAGTGGGAAACTCCCTTCATCAATCGGAATCTTCTGCAAAGATTAGGCATTTGTTCTCAAAGGTGATGGTATAGAATCTTCGAAGTGTGGGTTTGGTCTCAGCAATGTCCTTCACAGTCGATCTTTTGTTTTCTCCCCCTTAGGCAATATAGATGCTAATCAACCGACTTCTTAAGGATGAATTTAGGATGTGCAGCCACCAGAGGTTCGCCTTTTCTGAGCCTTTCTTTGCCGCCTCTTTGTTCCCTCCACGAAAGCTTAGAAGAGAGTGGGCGTTTCGTTTGTGAGCATAGCATAGCATAGTGCTGAAATCGGAGCATGTTTTTTCAAAGAGCAGAGAAAAAAATCCAGGGGCTTCTCTCGAGGTGGATATTCCTTACCGCACGCATCTTTTTGTAGGAGACTACTGGGGTTGAATTTTTCCCCTATCTGTCCCCTATCTGTCCCCTATTTTTCCCCTATGACCCTAGGAACAGTTAGGGACGGCGGGTCTGAGCACTGTACCCCTTTCTACCCCATATCCGGGCAATGGTCAATTTTTCTATACTTTGCCATCCCTGGCCGCTGCTACCTGTCCAGCTGTGTAACCCTTATACCTGACCACTGTTTACCGTTCAGAATAACCGATTCTGAAAATGAAGTTTTCCTTTTCAGCTCAAAAAGGCGTTAGAGACGATATCCAACATCACTGTGACAGTTGTTGACTACAATGGGTAAGACCCTCCAGATTCTTCCCATTTCAACTCCAAGACGATGATTTTTTGGTTGCAGCAAAGTTCCATTCCTTGAACAACTTGCTTCCACCCACAATTCGGACGTCTTCATTGGAATGCATGGCGCCGGCCTCACTCATCTTCTGTTTCTCCCAGATTGGGGGGCTATTATGGAGCTGTAAGTGGACTTAATTGGTTCTGAAAAGCCGAGAATTCTTGGTAAACAGCGAGCACTCAAGTGTTAGGGTGAAATTGGTTCGGACAAACGGAAATTAAAATGAATGGAAGAGTTTTTAGCTCTGAGCAGGCTTGATTGGGGATGTGCCCGCTCGCTAATGAGCAGTTTTCCAGAAAGTAATTTTAGTCCCGTGGATTTTAGATTGGGGTGCTATTATGGAGTTGTAAATAGGCATATTACTAGTACTATACCGAGGGGTTCACTTCTTCTCATGGTCTCGCCAAGTTGTTCCTCGATCTCTATATCTAAAAATCCGTCTTCAATTCCGTCAATTCAATTGACGGCCTAGCTAAACGGGTTTACTGGTAAGGGTCCTTTTGGTGATTTATGGTCGGATTCTATTCTGGCAAAACCGGCCTTTCAAACAAAGGGACCAATTCGTAGATGGTATGGATGTAAGAAGTGAAAACTGCTGAATAATCTTCAAAAAATATATTATTTTGAAGGGCACCCAAGTATTTATTTTTCATTGTTTTGATTACGTCATTCTGTTCTCCCTTCGTCACCAGTTTTATCGTGCTGAGTGCATGTCAGCTGTCATCCTGCTTAGCACTTTGCTTTGTGTACACTTTTAATGCGAAAGCGTATCCATTTTATGAAAGCGTTAAGCGAAATGTGCTAGATGTTCGTCAGCATTTATTACTTCGATTGTCAAGGATGGTTTGACAGTAATTAATCAAGAAAGAACCTAAGTTGAAGTTTTTATTTACTAGAATTGGCCCAGAATGCTAATGTTATGCCGTTAATAACAGCAGAACGAAGAAACAGAAGGAAAAGAAGTTATACATCTCTCTTAGATCCGACAAGGTTCTTTGTGAAGGGGTGTGGTGCAGTAGGAACGGCGTTGTCGCGTCGCGGCGAGAGTGACGTCGCGCGCGAAGGAATGTAGCAGATTGCAGCGGCAAGTAAGAAATACAGGAACAAGTGAACTAATCGTCTAGCGATTGAGCTGTATGAAGAACGCTAGAAGTGTCATCACGACGCAAGTGGTCCGCGACAGCCGCGTGCGGCGGACTGATTACACAAGACCGTTCCTACTGCCCATCTCCCCTTTGTGGAGGGTACTAGGTCATTCGGTAATCGCATCACTTTCCTTTCCGTTTCCTCTGTATTCCAGGGGTCGGTTCAAACGTGTTCGTACCTATCCTTGATAAGGTATTTTGTGCGCCCAGTTCACGATATTCTAAGGTATCTAGCCTAAATGAAATAATGGAAGTTACGGTGTAGAGTAGTGCAAGAATGGCGAAGAAAGCGCGAAAACCGGGGTTTTCAGAAAATCTAAGGTGCTCAAAAGGTAGTAAGAAGGGGTTTTGCACAAAATTATGTGCTTGTAACAATTTGTCTCCCACATAAAAGTAATTTTCGTCGGCATTCCAACGATTCATAATGAATGGTATAGCTCCAAGAAGGTCGTTATAACACGGCCACTTTTGGGTGTGTAAATCGACCAAGCTGGCTTTGAAGTCTTTCCATTCAACTCGATAATGCCCCACGTCACAGGTTCATCGTAGGAGAAATCTCGGGAACTATTTTTATCGTGAATCGTACCTGTAAGGTATGTTTATAAGGTTTACTTACGAAAGACTAAATTGTATACCTTAAAGGCATAGTTCACGATAAAAATGGTTTCTGAGATTTCTCCATAAAATGAATTTGAGGCCCCCTCGTATACCATAACTGGTGCTATCAGGTGGGAAAATGGCCTAGTTAGGGCGTTATGAAGGCTCAAAGATTGACCCGTAGGTGCGCGCGGACGAGTTTCAATGGTATTGTAGAGGCTGCAACATTCACGAGGGAACCCATGTAGGAGATTCGAGCAACTTGTCGTGTCTCATAGCGACAGTGAATGGTAGTTTTGTACAGTTCTGGTTTGATGTGGTTAGCTCTTGGCACAATTACAGCAACTGAAATCTCGTCCCAATACCTTTTGTTATTCCCGTCATGGTAATCTCGTCCAACCTCTATTTTCCATTTTTTTAAAGAAGCCATATTTTTCTCAAAATCGGTAAACTCTTTCTCTTTCTTCACTACCATTGACTTCTATTCCCAACCTATACTCCCGCTTTTTGAACAAAAAGAGGTATCCCAAAATTATCGTGAACTGTGCCTTTAACTGTAAGGTATCCATTCTTCTTTGCTGATATCGGCTAATGACGGTGGTGTTGTGTACTAACTTGTCCAAGGCACAAAGTGAATGAGGCACCATGAACAGTCAGAATGCAATTCTTGAATTATGCAGATAGATGATACCCTTGTACTTAGACATGAACCGAGTTGTACCCAGTGAAAAAAAACCGAAAATGGATATACAAGTACAACTTTCAGATACAATTGTGATGACCGAAACTGTTACAAAGATTTGGCTCGGCTCCGAGGCGTGAAATATTTCACCTGGGCTCCTGAAAAGGTTATTCTTTTTCCATTTGATGTCAGTTTGCCTCGTATATTAGGTTATATTCGTACTACTTTTTTACAGCATCACCTGATCTATCCTGAAAATGATGGCCTCCACCCACAAACGGGTAATCCCCACAAGAAGTTCACGAACTACAGATTCGACCCTGATGAGTTCGTACGACAGGTGAAAATGGTAAGTTCCGCTCTGCATTTAGCACATTTGAAGTACATTCTCTGTGAACGATCTCCCTAAGGTAGAGGGCTACTGTATCTGTTGAGAGAGGGAGTTGTCGTATCTGAATATGGGAAGGTACACCATGCAGAACAAGTAGGCCAGTCGTTGCGGCTGTATCATTTTCGTGGTGTTGGGTTGAGTGGAATGGTTGTTAGGGGCTTATTTTGCTACTCGCTACCCACCCTTAAGTCATTCTCCATCCTGTGCCATCTGTTCCAACCTTTCATTCTTCCAGGATGGGTCATTTTGTTAGTAAGAATTATTAAATGGCATGGAAATCGCATAAGAGATGCTCTCATTACCACACTATTAATCTGAGAGGTCCAGTGACTTCATACAGCCCGTTTTGCTTAGGTTAGTTTAGAGCAGTGGTCTAGGAGGTGTAGGTTCGCTTTAGGAAGTGTAGGTACAAGCATGAAGAATTGTCTACCGTCGTAGATGTGTCGGTGCTACTTGGATTCTTTGATTGAAATTTCTTCTCTAGATGCCAGCTCTACCCTTTTTACAGTACGCAGTGTATAACGAACGATTTGTTACTTTCTGGAGGTTTTTTAGATGGTGGAATACGTGCGCCGTCATCCGAAATTTGTCGAAGAGCGACGTCGATTGCGAAGATCCCAACGACGAGTGGAAGAACTCTGACAGCTCATTATCTTGCCTTTATTAAGGACCGCTTTCATACCTATGCCTGCCTTTTTTCAGAATTGACTAACATTCTTATTCATGAGAGATCTGAACAAGCTTACCCAACGTTTTTGATAACCTCGCTTTATTCACTTATGTTGCAAACACAATTTAATTTTTCCTAATTTCCCATGTTGTTATGACGAAATTGTTTGATAGAGATGCTTTATAAATAAAAAGTAAATCTCTTGCAAGTACGTAACGAAACTAATTCCAGATATGGGAGTTACTCGATAGGAAATCTCCTCATTAATACCTCCCTCAGAGTGTTCGTGTATGTTTCTTCTTTGTATAGTGTCGTTTTTGTTCTGACCTTCGATTTTACCAATTCTTCCGAATCTCCATTTACCCAATCGAAACAGAATGAAGTACGTTCCTAAGGTGATGTTGTTTCCTAATCAGAACTGCTTCATAATCACATTTAAATATCAAGTATTTCAACTCAGCCGTGTTTGGCGTCGCAGTACTGGCCCCTAACTATCGGTCGGCTAGTTTAGTAACTTGCGCCCGATGCAGTGTAGCCCCTGGATACCCCGTCTACCCGACTGGCATCTTTCAGAGTAGAGCGTTGAGCGCCTATACTGCCAATGCTGGTCGACGAATCAATCGATGATGATCGAGTTTTTTTGGTTTCAACATTCACTTTTTTGATTTTTCATGTATCAATTTTTTATGTAAATGGATTTGATATTTTCTTTCCTTACGACTATGGTGTGGCATGACGAAAATATATCGTTACGAAAGAGCACTATACACCTTTGCTCGGAGGATAACATGCTTCAACGCAAAGACCGTTAGCGGCGGCGCGCGCGCAAACTCGGCGTTCGAGCGTCAAACGCGCAAGGCTCAACGCTTGATACTCTACTATGAAAGCACTCATTGCGGCGTTAAGTCGGCGACATCGGCGCCAGTAGTCGATCATATTTTGCAAGTTGAGGACACGAAGTGGGCGGGTGAAACGTCCATCTATGCAGTCTAGCTTCTAACGTTGAAAAAGAGGGGTTCCCCACCTCCAATTACACTTTCACCTAGATTTTTTTTGAACCAGCGAATATTGTAAGTTCGGCGAATGGTGCCATGTTCGGAGCTACCAGTTCTTGTGTAATAAGCCATATGAGTAATTTGTTATTCCATTTGTGTTCCAGTAAAAATACACAATTCGCACATTTTTTATTCATTTTAAACATAAAGCAATAACACATCGCATAGTTTTTCGCTAGGATGTGTAGAGATAGTAAAGATGACGCTGTCAGTTTTGCTTTTCTCTCACATACATATATTGTGTCACTCTTGAGCCGCTATTTCGCTTCTTCAAATTGGACCTAAAGTCACATATCATGTAAGACTGCCGTCATATGTGTACTTCTTTACTGGTAGCAAAGCTGAACCTTGAGTCTGAATTCTCCCTGTGGTGGCCCATAGTGTTCGCTCCACGCTCCTTCACATGTGCACCCTTCTGGTGCAGGAATATGATAGACTCCAAAATGATGCTTGTCGTTCTCAGGAACCTCCCCATTAGGTCTGTAAGGATAGGATATCACATGAAGATCCTGTAAGGATTTCACGGTAGCTTCTGTTTTTGGGAGGTCTTACTTGTATGTGAGAGTAATGTTCGATGTCTGATTGTAGTCCAGAATCCCTGTGGCGGGTCGAATTTTGAACAGATCGTTTCTCGTACATTTTATCTGCAAATGAACTATCTGACACAAGTTTTTAACTTTTTCATGCCCTTTTATGGTATTTTAGAGAGTTTAGTAAAATAACTTTGATAAATCGTACCTTGAACGCTTGTTTCATATCACTTTTATTAGTAATCTTCAAGTGTGTCTTAATTTCGCTGTTAAAATCGCCAACGAATTTTATCTGCAATCATTCCGTAAGCCTTATCACTTATACACAGATCAGAAAGTAAGTCCAGCATCCAGAAAACTTGGTCAAATCGATAAACCGGTCGATAAAATGGAACGTATGCTTGAAAAGTTATCCAGAAAGATTTATTTTATCGTTATCACCACTGAAATAGTTGGAATCTCTTCCTTTTCAACCAATTCGACCAACTTTTCTGGATACCATTTCAAGTGTACGTACCATGCCAGGACTGGGCCGATGATCGCTTTCTGCTTTTTCACTACTTGGTGATGCCGAATCTCGTTCACTAGGCAGGCGATCGTTCGAACCCTCAGGGGTACGACATTCTACAGCCTCAAAAAAACTATTTTCCTTGCGATTTCATTCCGGAGGACATCTTAAGCTTTCCGGACAAGGTTATGCTAGATCAGAGTGTGTCTGATCCTTTAGAAGCACGCGTGGGTGGTAGGCTAGGTGGTAACAGGTAGTCCTGCAGACGGTCTTATACTTCAGGTATCGGAATCTCAATGAGTTCATCCTCAATGGTCTTATCAGTATCTGTTCGATTAGAGTTTTAGTTGGGTACCTACGATGGCTGAGTTCATTTTTCGTGTACCTACCAAAAGAGGGGGTCCGTTCTGTTCATGCAGCATATCGTCATTGTCTAACACTGAAGGAACTTTTAGAGACAAGACGAGTTTCAAAGTCCCGTGAATCTCTTACACAGTAACTCGAACGCACAAGCGCTTCTGAATACCCGCCACGCAACAAAGCGGTACTCTGGGTGAGGCCCACGGCGAAGGTGATTCAGCATGGGGAGTTACTGTATCACGCGTTCAGGGGATGTAAAATCTGACTCCCCTTTTAGGGCACAGCAAGGAGTGGGAAATGTTCACACGCAAGAAAATGGGCCATTGAAAACCCACTTCGAAGGAGACAGATTGCTACGGTTCGCATCGCTTCGGATGGCTCAGTGAACCGAAACGGCATGGAACCCAGGATCTGACTGGAGAATGACAAGAGGGACTGAACGTTTCGCAACGTCGCCATCGTTGTTGTCACTCGCTGCCTAAGTACATTGGAAGCATTGAATCGACTTACCGTGTCGTTCGGTTCCATAGTTATGTACTTCTTTTCCTTTGCTGTCATTGCAGCACCACTTGCTGCAGGTGGCTGTACTCAAAAAATGAACCTCACTCAGACTCTTGACTTCCCCATACCACATCCGTAGCTGCAGTTGATCTTCGGTTCTGATCATATCACATTATGAAGAAGCTGAGCGGCTGTAGGCCCTATTTTGAACGAATTAACTTGCTTTTGAACGAATAAACTTACAAAACTAGTTCTTTTCGGTTTGATGTACTCGTTGGATTTCGCTTTATATGTGTGCCTCCAATTTCCCTAGATATGAGGATGTCTTCTGAGTCAATTCGTTATTTTTTAAGTCCACTAAGTTGGTTTACTTGGCGTTGATCAGGCTCGGCATGGGATGCTTCCCATCCGACTTCGAGTCACTGTGGATTCTGAACGCGTATTTACCCCGTACAATAACTTTTAGGACCAGTCTATGCCCAAGTCAGTGCATTTATTCTCCCAGACAAAGTAGAACCACCTGGTTAAGGTAGGATCCAATTTATAAGGAGCTCCACCCTCAAATAGGCAGGTCGATTATATCAGTGCGTCCCAGTAATGTGGTAAAGTTTATTTAGAAAAGTTGAAACAGTAAAAGTCAATAAGCAGCAGGAGACAGAATTTCTCACAGTACCCCAAAGCTCCAGCTTTCGTAAGCTTTCTTTTCTAGGTGTTGGTTTCTAACAACTTACTTGCACTTGTCATGCATTTTTTATTTATCGGAAAAATGAAAGGTCTACTGAACTGTCGATGATCCCAGCATTATTTCGTCGGTTGCTCGTCCTGGTTTAATCGCATCCGATTTGGGAATTCCAGCGGTTGGAATTTCCCGACCAAATTTTACTCTGAGATAACTTACCTGGAATTAGTTCACTCTCTATAACTATGAGGAGAAGTTCATCGTTCTGAGGAACCAACATGAAGTCCTTCGTTTCCTGGTGATCACAGTTTTACTATCGCGACCTATCTGACAGATTAGGGGACCTTGGTCTAGGCTGGTTTCTGGGTCGGATCCGAAACCACGACATTTCTTACGGCAAGCGTTCTGTAGGAAGTTATCAAAACAGACCAAAAAGTCATTCTGACTGATTGCTGTGCGAGCACTAATGGTGTGGCGGTACTGCCGTAAACACGTAGTGTCTAGGCATCAGATCGCGATCCTGTCGAGAGTGATCGAGTGGCACTCACAGTACTCACTTAACTACTCTTAGAATGATTCCAAAGTCTTTTTTTTCTTTCTGCATCTTCCATTGGGGAGCAATCTCCGAATAGCCAATGAACCGTTTCAATTCCTTCTCACTCCCAAACAATTCTCGGACTTTATCAGTGGATCAGTACACCCCTGAAATCCAAGAATCCCGATATTGGAACTTGTGGTTCTCACAACACTTCTCAAATAGTCTCGCCTTTCATCTAGAGTTTTCCCCTGGTCAGCCACAGGAGATTTGAAGGAGAGCTGAGTATACAGAAGGAAAAGGTTTTTGGAGGTAAAGTTAGTTCGTATATGAGCAGTTGTTCACAATTGCCCAGAAGAGAAGATGGTGCTCTGAAAGGCACTGTACTGCACCTCTGAGCGATCTCCTGTCTTTGACCAACACTGTTCGATTTGCTCTTACCAGCCAATGCTATAATCAGATGGTTCTTCAATTTCTCATTTTCTTGGTGCTCTCTTACGGAGGAATGGTTTCAACCAGAGAACAGTACGAAATACGACGCTGATGGGCATAGGGTTCCTGTAACTTTCCTCTGGGTGGTCGCAACTAGGTGTTCCTGTGTAGGCGGTGAAGGAGAGATCTGTGGAAACAGCTGACAGGTTGCAGATGTTGTCATATCGGTCTACGGAAAAGATGGAAGAGATGGTTACCGCTGGGCAGGGGAATTCCAACTCCAATTTCCAAAATTGGGAAAGAAGAGAGGGGGACTGTAATCTGGAAAGATGCCAAAAGAGAAAGTTGGGGTTCAACGCTTCATTTCAGCTCTTGTTTTAAGATGTTTGGCGTAGCGCCTCCAGTTACGGCTGAAATTTGGGCCTTCAATTGCTAACTCTTTCCAATGAGGTAGGCTGCGCAAATTTTCCTCAATCGCAATAGTATAGATGCCCAAGTCCCTGTAAACTAAACTGCTTTCCAGGGACCAGTGCCCTCCGTTCAATGTTTCATGTATCTCCCATCCGCCATTTCCCCCTTCCCCACGGGCATGCTCTTCTCTGTCCTTTCTCAGTTAACGTTTTTCACTGGTACATACCGCACCAGGTACGGTCCGTTTTCCGTCGGGAGTTCTTTTAGACGAGCTAGACTCTCTCACTCCAACTTGGAGGAGTTTGGAGCCAAATAAGAATGAGCTGGAATCTTTTTCGTTCTCGCGCAAAGGTTAATAAGCCATCCAGTTTCTGTCAGATAAAATTTTTGTTCCCTACGTCTCACATTAGGAAGCGATTGACGAACAGCCAATACCCTGTTCATTTCCTCCCCTTCCCAAGCAGTTCCCGGACTTCATGACTGAATCCCCGCAACGCCTTTTTTGCCCCTTGAGGCGTCTCTCTGTACTTTCGTACAAAAACCCTTCCTATTTTTTTTCGGAAGAACTCTTGTCCAATGCCTAAAACCCTTAAGTCATGAATAAAAGAAGCAAGAGCGACCAAAAATGCGGCCACCTCGCATTTCTGGCCTAGTGGGTGAACGCCAGCCCTTTCGATGCCCTGTTTTCCATTTTTTCGAGGATGATTTCCGCACCTTAGCGTGGCAGTTCTCCTCAATTACGATTCCACAATTTGTGAAGTTTTCATTTTGGGCTGTTACCAGTTCGCTCTACCAGTCCTTTACTGCACGTGGAATAGGTAGCATTAGAAAGTTGTTCTTGTACACTCCTCTTCATACATTTCCCCTAATTGGGCAGCGGGAAATAGGGTATATGGAAGCAGTGCTTTTTGGCCGAAAGTTGGGTGTGTTGATTGATGTAACCAAAAAAGCTTAAATGCAGAAACAGCCGAAGTTAAAAAACCTGGTAAATGGAAAAGTAGAAAGGAGCGGGGCTGGTGCGATCGGCGACTCTATTTTCGAGTCCACGCAGGTGGAGAACAAATCGTTGCAAGTGGTGGAGGAGGGTAGAGCGATACATACGGCTGAAGGTCTAGGGCTGGTCACCGGCGTGTACTCGGAGGACGTCCGTTCCGCGCGTTCGTCGGAACTATAATAGGTTACCCCGACTACAGCGCGCGGCGCAGCCCACTGCGTCTCGAGATGACATTACANTACCACTAAGTATCAGTGGAGCGAATGACTTGCACTATTCCGTGATACCTTTTCCCACTTTCTAAGCCGATCTGCAACCCCACGGTGAATTGGTCCCGTTAGCATCTCTGCTTGCGACATGTGAAACAGCAGGTGTGTCATTCACCTGGGAGCTTTAAAGTCCTAAGAGAAGCGGGAGTGGGTTGATCTTGCCAAGCTTTGGCGGTCATGGAATGATGCAAAATTTTTGGGTAATTTCCGAGTGTGTGCGCTCTGTTTAAAAATGTGTGGTTCCTTGGTTCATACTGTCATCCAGTACGGCATTCCCTTGACCCTCATACTGTTCTGTGGAAGAAAAATGAACTATTTGTCCTTTTGTTAGATTATGTGGGGGCTGTAAGCTGCTAATCTTTAACTTTCCGAATCCTCAAGGGATCCTTTGACATGAACATTTCAATAGTGACGTGTTGTGATTTGCTGAGGATATCGTTAAGTGGGGAGTCCTGAAATGCTCAAGTTAAATGTGTGATGTATGGAATCCGCTGTGTTCCGGAATCTACACTTTACGCAAAGTTTGTTAACCTATTTTGCAGGTATGACCCAGCTTGAATGAGCTCCCATGCGTAGACTCAAGCAAAAAACTTATTACGTAACGCT